ATAATAATAATACTATAGTATGGTAGGATAATAATAATAATAATAATAATAATAATAATATAGTATGGTGGGAGGGCATTCTCAAAATTTAGTCATCATAGTGATGTCAGGCACATAATAATAATAATAATAATAATAATAATAATAATAATAATAATAATAATAATAATAATAATAATAACAATAGAGTTGGGAGGGACATAATATAATAATAATAAGAATAAAGTTGGGAGGGACAGCAAATAATAATAATAGTAATAGTAATAATAATAATAATAATAATAATAGTAATAATAATAATAATAATAATAATAATAATAATAATAATAATAATAATACTGACATTCCCTTTGGCGCCCTCTGGAGGACAAGGGAAGACTGCACTCGCCTTGAGATTCCCATCCGCAGCCCTTTGCCGCCACCCAGTGGCCAGGCCAGGAAGCGCACCCTCCGCTCGAGGTCGGCCAATCAGGAGCGCCGCTGCTCGGGGAAGGAAGCGCGACGTCACTGCAGGCCACGCCCCTTCCGGCCCGGCCGCCATTTTCCGGAAGGAAGTCCCATGAGGAGCCTTCCTTCGCCTCGAATCCGGTTTGTATCTGCGTGTGCCTCCATTTCTCTCGCTCATTTCCGTCTATAGGGAGGGCCTTCCACTCTAGGCTGTGGGGGAGGCCTGGGGAGGGTTTCCCGGCCTGCCTGGCCCGTCTGTCCCACAGGCAGCACTCTCTCCTGACGTTTCGCCCACTTCTCTGGCCCTCAAGGCCTCCCCCCCCCCCCCCCCCGAGGTGGACACAACTAGTCTTGAACTCCACCAATGATGGAATTGAATCAAACTTGGCACACTGAACTCCCATGACCAACAGAAAATACTGGAAGGGTTTGGTGGCATTGACCTTGAATTTTTGGAGTTGTAGTTCACCTCCATCCAGAGAGCGCTGTGGACTCAAACAAGGATGGATCTGGACCGAACTTGGCACAAATATTCTATTGTCCAAATGAGAACACTGGAGGAGTTTGAGAAAAATAGACCTTGACATTTGGGAGTTGTGGATAATAATAATAATACTAATAATAATAATAATAAGAGAGACCAGATTGCCAATATCCGAATGCTGGAGAATGGAGAAAGGCAGGGAGTTTCAGAAAAACATCTACTTCTGCTTCATTGACTCTTCTAAAGCCTTTGACTGTGTGGATCATAATAAATTGTGGCAAGTTCTTGGTGGGATGGGCATCCCAAGCCCCCTTCCCTCTCTCCTGAGGAATCTGTCCAAGGACCAAGGAGCAACAGTCAGAACTGACCACGGAACAACAGACTGGTTCAAGATTGGGAAAGGCGTACGGCAAGGCTGCATCCTCTCACCCAACCTTTTTAACATGTATGCAGAACACATCATGCGATGTGCGGGGCTGGATGAATGCAAAGCTGGGGTGAAAATTGCTGGAAGAAACATTAACAATCTCAGATATGCAGATGACACCACTCTGATGGCCGAAAGCGAGGAGGAGCTGAGGAGCCTTCTAATCAAGGTGAAAGAAGAAAGCGCAAAAGCTGGGTTGCAGCTAAACATCAAAAAAACCAAGATTATGGCAACAAGAATGATTGACAACTGGGAAATAGAGGGAGAAAACGTGGAGGCCGTGACAGACTTTGTATTTCTAGGTGCAAAGATGACTGCAGATGGAGACTGTGGCCAGGAAATCAGAAGACGCTTCCTTCTTGGGAGGAGAGCAAGGACCAATCTCGATAAAATAGTAAAGAGTAGAGACATCATTCTGGCAACAAAGATCCATTGCCTAGTCAAAGCCATGGTCTTCCCTGTAGTAACCTACGGATGTGAGAGCTGGACCTTAGGGAAGGCTGAGCGAAGGAAGATTTGAGCTGTGGTGTTGGAGGAAAGTGCTGAGAGTGCCTTGGACTGCGAGAAGATCCAACCAGTCCATCCTCCAGGAAATAAATCCCGGCTGCTCATTGGAGGGAAAGATACTAGAGACAAAGTTGAAGTCCTTTGGCCACATCATGAGGAGACAGCAAAGCCTAGAGAAGACAATTATGCTGAGGAAAGTAGAAGGAAAAAGGAAGAGGGGCCCAAGGGCAAGATGGATGGATGGCATCCTTGAAGTGACTGGACTGACCTTGAAGGAGCTGGGGGTGGTGACGGCCGACAGGGAGCTCTGGCGTGGGCTGGTCCATGAGGTCACGAAGAGTCGCAGACGACTGAACGAATGAACAACAAACAACCATCTCCCGAAGGACTTGGTGCGGCTTACAAGAGGCCGAGCCCAAATACAATAGTAAAAACAACAAGAACAACAAACAGCAAAATAACTCAGAAAACAAAGCAATAACTAGATTCTTGTGGGTTTTTTCAGGCTATTGAGCCATGTTCTAGAGGCATTTCCCCTGACATTTCGCCTGCATCTATGGCAAGCATCCTCAGAGGTAGTGAAGTCTGTTGGAATTAGGACAATGGGTTGTTATATCTGTGGAATGACCAGGGTGGGACAAAGGACTCTTGTCTGCTGGGGCTAGCTGTAAATGTTTCAGCTGATCACCTTGATTAGCATTTGAAGGCCTGGCTGAGCCTGGGAAAATCTTTTGTCACACCAACACAGAAATGCTGGATCACACCAACAACCACCATGTCAGACTACACAGGATGTCGCGGAGAGAATTTATGATGTCTTCATGCCTCAGAAATTGACTCCTGACAATGTATTTGTCTCTATCTTTCTACCTATCTATATACGAGTGGTATTTTTTAAGTAAGGTCCATTTGAACATAAGTACACAACGAAAGTTTATTTCAAAAAAAGTAAATTTATTTTCAGAAAGTACATACTTCACTCTATTTTTCGACATAGTTGCCAAGTTTGTTCAAACACTTATCACACCTCTGAACCAATTTTAAAATACCCTCTTCATAAAAACTTGCCGCCTGCTCCGATAACCAAGAGTTCACTGCCGTTTTCACGTCGTCGTCATTGTAACAGTTGCCACTGAGCACAGTTTCCTAAACTTTAGGCGTTCAGAAACAATGTATTGTTGAAGGCTTTCAAGGCTGGAATCACTAGGTTCTTGTGGGTTTTTTCGGGCTTTAGAGCCATGTTCTAAAGGCATTTTTTCCTGATGTTTCTCCTGCATCTATGACAAGCATCCTCTGAGGTAGTGAGGTCTGTTGGAACTAGGAAAAATGGGTTTATATATCTGTGGAATGGCTGGGATGGGGCAAAGAGCTCTTGTCTGCTGGAGCTAGGTGTGAATGTTTCAACTGACCACCTTCATTAGCCTTTGAAGGCCTGGCTGAGCCTGGGGGAATGTTTTGTTGAGAGGGTTGTTTCCTCTCTGCTGTTTTGCTGTTGTAATTTTTGAGTTTTTTAATACTGGTAGCCAGATTTTGTTCATTTTCATTCTTCCTTTCTGTTGAAATTGTCCACATGCTTGTGGATTTCAATAGCTTCTCTGTGTAGTCTGACATGGTGGTTGGGAGAGGTCCAGGTTTCTGTGTTCTCAAATAATATGCTGTGTCCAGGTTGGTTCATCAGGTGCTCTGCTATGGCTGACTTCTCTGGTTGAAGTAGTCTGCAGTGCCTTTCATGTTCCTTGATTCGTGTCTGGGCAATGCGGCTGCGTTTGGTGGTCCCTCTGTAGACTTGTCCACAGCTGCATGGTACACGGTAGACTCCTGCAGAAGTGAGAGGATCCCTCTTGTCCTTTGCTGAACGGAGCATTTGTTGGATTTTCTTGGTGGGTCTGTAGATTGTTTGTATGTTGTGTTTCCTCATCAGCTTCCCTCAGCGGTCAGTGGTTCCCTTGATGTCTGGCAGGAACACTTTTCCTCTGGGTGGATCTTCATCTTGACTCTCGTGGCTTGTTCTTGGTCTTGCCGCTCTTCTGATGTCTGAGGTGGAGTCTCCATTGGCCTGGAGAGCCCAGTTGAGGTGGTTCCGTTCCTCTTGGAGGAGGTGGGCTTCACAGATTCTTTTTGCACGGTCTGCCAAGGCTTCTTTTTTGACTTGGGTGATGGTTGGAGTTTTTATGTAGATATCTCTCTGCATGTGTGGGTTTCCTGTAGACGGTGTGACCCAATTGTTGATCTGGTTTGTGGATGACCAGGACATCTAGAAAAGGCAGTCTTCCTTCATTTTCTTTTTCCATGGTGAACTGGATGTTTGGGTGGATGCTGTTCAGATGGTCCAGGAACCTGTTGAGTTCTTCTTCTCCATGGCTCCAAATGGTGAAGGTGTCATCCACATCTCTGAACCATATCGTGGGCTTTTTGGGGATCCTCAGAGGGATCCTCTCACCTCTTTCAGCTTGGAAAATCTACAGCAGTGTTTCTCAACCTGGGGGTCGGGACCCCTGAGGGGGTCATGAGGGGGTGTCAAAGGGGTCGCCAAAGACTATCAGAAAACATAGTATTTTCTGGTGGTCATTTGGATTCTGTGTGGGAAGTTTGACCCAATTCTATTGTTGGTCGAGTTCAGAATGCTCTTTGATTGTAGGTGAACTATAAATCCCAACAACTACAACTCCCAAATGTCAAGGTCTATTTTCCCCCAGACTCCACCAGTGTTTACATTTCGGCATACTGAGTATTTGTGCCAAGTTTGGTCCAGATCCATCATTGCATGAATCTGCAGTGCTCCTCTGGATATAGGTGAACTACAACTCCCAAACTCAAAGACAATGCCCACCAAACCCTTCCAGTGTCTTCTGTTGGTCATGAGAATTCTTTGTGCCAAGTTCGGTTTAAATCCATCACTGGTGGAGTTCAGAATGCTTTTTGATTATAGGTGAACTATACATCCCAGCAACTACAACTCCCAAATTACAAAATCAATCCTCCCCCCCTTCCCCCAACCCCACTAGCATTCACATTTGGGCATATTGGGTATTTGTGCGCAATTTAGTCCAGTGAATGAAAATATATCCTGCATATCGGATATTTACATTACGATTTATAACCATACTAAAATGACAGGTATCAAGTAGCAACAAAATATTATGGTTGGGGGTCACCACAACATATGGAACTGCATGAAGGGGTCACGGCATTAGCAAGGTTGAGAACCACTGTGTGGGGAAATCTAAAGGGCCTCTCAGCCGAGGCACCCCCGGCGTCCCGTTGGGCATTCAGAAAGCACGTCCTGTAAATAGACAGCGGAAGAGCCGGGTTTTAAGGTCCTTTTTAAAGGTTTCCCAATTTCTCCACTGAAGACCCCGATGTTTGCATATCTGGGTGTTTCCATTTTCAACATGACCCATGAAGGGAAAGGGGGAAATCGTGGAGGTAAAGAAAGTTTCTCACCTTCATCCTTGATCTTTTGCTTCTTCCTTAACCAGGGAAATGAGGATTCTATGGAGCCTCCCCCCCCCCCCTTGGATGCAGCAGTGAAATCAATAATATAGGAAGAAGAACTTCTCTCTAGGTGAGGGTCCTGCTGAAATCTTGACCTCACATACAGATAAGGAAGGAAAAAAAGAAGACTGAAGCATCTGTTTTGCAACCAAACACCCATATCATGGCTGACATGAAGGAGAAAGCATCCATGTGCCTGGAGTGTGGGAAGAGTTTCACGCGGAAGCATCATCTGAAGCAACATCAAAGGACTCACACGGGGGCGAAACCCTATACATGCCTGGAGTGTGGACAGAGCTTCACTATGGGTGGAAGTCTACGTTCACATCAAAGGACTCACACTGGGGAGAAACCCTATACATGCCTGGAGTGTGGAAAGAGCTTCACAGAGAGTGGAACTCTACGTTCACATCAAAGGACTCACACTGGGGAGAAACCCTATACATGCCTGGAGTGTGGAAAGAGCTTCACTCAGAGGGGAAGTCTACGTTCACATCAAAGGATTCACACTGTGGAGAAACCCTATACGTGCCTGGAGTGTGGACAGAGCCTCACTACGATTGGAAGTCTACGTTCACATCGAAGGACTCACACTGGGGAGAAACCCTATACATGCCTGGAGTGTGGAAAGAGCTTCACTCAGAGGGGAAATCTACATTCACATCAAAAGATTCACACTGTGGAGAAACCCTATACATGCCTGGAGTGTGGAAAGAGCTTCACTCAGAGGGGAAATCTACATACACATCAAAGGATTCACACTGGGGAGAAACCCTATACATGCCTGGAGTGTGGAAAGAGCTTCACTCAGAGTGGAGGTCTATGTTCACATCAAAGGATTCACACGGGGGAGAAACCCTATACATGCCTGGAGTGTGGACAGAGCTTCACTACGATTGGAAGTCTACGTTCACATCAAAGGACTCACACTGGGGAGAAACCCTATACATGCCTGGAGTGTGGACAGAGCTTCACTATGCGTGGAAGTCTACGTTCACATCAAAGGATTCACACTGGGGAGAAACCCTATACATGCCTGGAGTGTGGAAAGAGCTTCACAGGGAGTGGAAGTCTACATACACATCAAAGGATTCACACTGGGGAGAAACCCTATACATGCCTGGAGTGTGGAAAGAGCTTCGCAGAGAGTGGAAGTCTACGTTCACATCAAAGGATTCACACGGGGGAGAAACCCTATAAATGTCTGGAGTGTGGAAAGAGCTTCCCAGAGAGTGGAAATCTACGTTCACATCAAAGGATTCACACTGGGGAGAAACCCTATACATGCCTGGAGTGTGGACAGAGCTTCACTAGGATGGGAAGTCTACGTTCACATCAAAGGATTCACACTGAGGAGAAACCCTATAAATGTCTGGAGTGTGGAAAGAGCTTTACTGTGAGTGGAAATCTACGTTCACATCAAAGGATTCACACTAGGGAGAAACCCTATAAATGTCTGGAGTGTGGGCAGAGCTTCACTACGAGTGGAACTCTACATTCACATCAAAAGATTCACACTGTGGAGAAACCCTATACATGCCCGGATTGTGGAAAGAGCTTCACTCAGAGTTCAGAACTACATAAACATCATAGGATTCACACTGGGGAGAAACCCTACAAATGCCTGGAGTGTGGGCAGAGCTTCACTCAGAGTGGACATCTACGTTCACATCAAAGGACTCACACTGGGGAGAAACCCTATACATGCCTGGAGTGTGGAAAGAGCTTCGCCCAGTGTTCAAGTTTACGTTCACATCAAGGGATTTACACTGGGGAGAAACCTTATAAATGCATTGTGGGGGCAGTTAAGAAAAATATATAATATTAATATTACAATAGAATTAGAATCAAAATGTAAACTGTTTGAACTGCCTGTATTTACATAGGTCAGGTTGGCCGGGCAAAGTAAACTGACAAACTTGAGGGATCGATTTGTGGCAGCCGTTAGGAGAAAAATAAAATAATCATAATAATTTAGAATAAAATAAGACGATTTTGTTCCTACCTGAATCTGAGAAGACCAGTTCTAAATTTGCAAGCATGCAAAAAACCTGCAGATGAGATATTGATTGACCTGGACTTTGGGTCAAGCCATGTTTGTTCTAACAGAAGTTTGTTCTAGATATGAAGTCAACAAAGCAAGTTGGCAGGACAAAGGAATCAATATATCGATCCAAGACTTGGAACATCTAAGGTCATATGGTAAGAGAGCGCCATCCTCTGACCACTTAATGTAAATAGTAGCAATTTCAGAAACGTTTCATCCAAAAGCAAATTCCTTTGGTCTTCATATTAAGAAATAAGTTATAATGGAGTTATTAAGGCTGGATTTATTAGGAGATTGCCTTGATCAAATCTTATGTTATAAGCATATAAAAGTTATAATTCAATTAGAGATTTAAAGCAATTGAACGTGTCATCTTAGGATAACGGGTGAAAGTTGAGATAAGTTATATAACCGAGCAGATGTTTGGGGTCACAACGTGCCTGCCAAGACCTGATAAAGATGTCCTTGGCAACTATACATGAAAACACCTGTTAATGATTGTATTGTGTAAATGTCAGATTCGTTCTGCGCATGTGTAAAACTAGCAATTTTATGCTATAAAAACTGGAACAATTGCGACTTCAAGGCTTGTGACAGACATTGGAACTGTTCACCCTATACTCCGCGGAGATAGTAATAAACGCCTGGAAATCTGCCAAGCTGCCGCCATCTTCTTCCTTCTCCAAAAGCACTCTAATGATCCCGGGTAACGTATATTCCGCAACAGATTTATTGATTTAACTGTCAGCGAGTGGAGAGGGGAGGCCTGGTCTCTGAGAGGTCCCCTCTATCTTGTGGGGTGCCTCAGGGGGCCATTCTCTCCCCTCTGTTGTTTAACATCTATATGCGACCACTTGCTCAGCTGGTGTGAGATTTTGGGCTTGAGTGTTACCAGTACGCTGATGACACTCAGCTGGTGCTGAAGATGGAAGGCCGACTGGACTCTGTACCCGATTGTTTCCATCAGTGCCTCATTGAGGCCGTGACTGGATGGCTGCGTGCCAGCAGGTTGAGGGTGAATCCAGCAAAGACGGAGATCCTATGGCTGGGTCAACCGGGCAGTGGGGATATCCAGCTGCCTACCCTGGATGGCCCGTCACCGTTGGTCAAGAGTCTGGGAGTCCGTTTGGACCCTCTGCTGACAATGGAGGCCCAGGTCTCTGCCGTGAGCAGAACCGCCTTCTTTCTTCCACCTGCGGCAGGCTAGACGGCTGGCCTCCTACTTGTCCAGGGATGACCTAGCTACGGTGATCCAGGCTACGGTCATCTCAAGACTGGACTACTGTAACGCCCTCTACATTGGCCTTCCTCTGTCGGTGATCCGGAAGCCCAAGTTGGTACAAAATGCAGCTGCTCGGCTTCTTGCGGGAATTCTGATGAGATACCGCATAACACCAATCTGACTGCAGCTGCATTGGTTACCCATTGAGCACCGGATCACTTTCAAAGGGATGGTACTTACCTTTAAGGCCGTGCATGGTCTGGGGCCAATGTATCTGAGGGATCGTCTCACCCCCTACCAACCCCAGAGATCCCTCCGTTCTGAGGACCAAGATTTGTTGGAAATTCCCAATGTCAAGACCTTGCATCTAACAGCAACCAGACGCAGAGCCTTTACAGAAGTGGCACCATCACTCTGGAATACTCTGCCACCTGAAGTCCGTGCCTTGCGGGACCTATCAGCATTCTGCAGGGCGTGTAAGCCATACCTGTTTCGACAGGCCTTTGATCTTTGATATTGCTGTTTTTAAATTGTTTTTAAATTGTGTTAGATTTTAGCCTGTTCTTGTAAGCCACTCCGAGCCCCAGGAGAGTGGCGGCATATAAGTTCAAATAATAAATAAATAAATAAATATAACTGTTGTGACTCAGCTTGATTCTGAGTCTGAGCCTGAACCCTGTGGGCCTTGTGAGCCAGAGTTTCCTGATGAAGAGGATGATGATATTTGGATTTCTGTGCCTGTCTCAGACAGTGCAGCAGGGGAAACAACAAGTCAGTTCTTAGGGGAAAAGAATCTCAGTGAGATAGATAACGGCCAGGTGGAGTTGTCTTCGCCTTCTCAGCCTTCCCATGGTGATCTGGTCCAGCCGGACCAAGATAAGGAGAGCCTTGAAGATAGTGAATTAATGAGCAGGCAAGAACGCTTAGACTGGAGGGTCAGAAGGAGTTCTCGTTTAGCTGGTAAGCGGGAAGCCAACTCTGCCAAAGGTCATTGCAATGCCTTCATGATTGCAAAGGGTATTTAGGTTTCTGGCTGTCAGTCCAACGTGGCTCTTTCCATGCAAACTTCTATGACTTAACCTTGGCTTTAAGCAGCATGCTTCTGGCTTCCTGAATCTGAGATTTTGTGTTTTGTATTTAACTGTTTTACCATGGACTCTTGTTTGATCATTGCCTAAAGGATTCTGCTTCATGTTTTTGCCTGTGGATCTTGGGAACTGTGTTTTTGCATTTAAACCTTGCCTATGGAACTTTTGCAATTCTTCTGCTATGTTTTGACTTTGCTTTTTCCTCAATAAACTACAAAATCGACAGCCCTGGTGTGGTGGTGTTTAGGAGCAAGGTGAAACCTACACTGAGTTGCAACAATAACTTAGAACATTGAAGTTCATACAGCATAAGGTCATAGGGCAGTGGTTCTCAACCTGGGGGTCGGGACCCCTGGAGGGGTTACGAGTGAGTGTCAGAGGGGTCATTGAAGACCATCGGAAAATAGAAAATTTTCTGTTGGTCATGGGGGTTCTATGTGGGAAGTTTGTCCCAATTCTATCATTGGTCGAGTTCAGAATGCTCGTGATTGTAGGTGAACTATAAATCCCAACAACTACATCTCCCAAATGTCAAGGTCTATTTTCCCAGACTCTACCAGTGTTCACATTTGGGCATACTGAGTATTTGTGCCAAGTTTGGCCCAGATCCATCATTGCATGAGTCCACAGCGCTCCTCTGGATATAGGTGAACTACAACTCCCAAACTCAAGGTGAATGCCCACCAAACCCTTTCATTGTTTTCTGTTGGTCATGGGAGTCCTTTGTGCCAAGTTCAGTTTAAATCCATCACTGGTGGAGTTCAGAATGCTTTTTGATTATAGGTGAACTATAAATCCCAACAACTACAACTCCCAAATGTCAAGGTCTATTTTTCCCAGACTCCACCAGTGTTCACAGATGGGCATATTGAGTATTCATGCCAAGTTTAGTCCACATCCATCAGTTTTTGAGTCCACAGTGGTCTCTGGATGTAGGTGAACTACAACTCCAAAACTCAAGGTCAATGCCCGCCCACCCCTCCAGTATTTTCTGTTGGTCGTGGGAGTTCTGTGTGCCAAGTTTGGCCCAGTTCCATTGTTGGTAGAGTTCAGAATGCTCTTTGATTACAAGTGAACTATAAATCCCAGCAACTACAGCTTCCAAATGACAAAATCACCCCCCCCCCCAACCCATCAGTATTCAAATTTGGGAATATTGGATATTCATGCCAAATTTGGTCCAGTGAATGAAAATACATCCTCCATATCAGATAGTTACATTACGATTGATAACAGCAGCAAAATGACACTTATGACGTAGGAAGGAAAATAATTTTATGGTTGGGGGTCACCATAACATGCAGAATTGTATTAAGGGGTCGCAACATGAGGAAGGTTGAGAACCACTGACCTAAAGCTTCAGAGAGCTTCTGTTCAACCATTTCAAAGCTCCCTGCTTGGGTGGTGATGGCACGATCGTCAGCATACATGGATCAGCTGGTTTTTCCTGTAATAGGCAGTAAGAGCACCCAAAGCTTCAGAGAGCTTCCGTTCAACCATTTCCAAGCTCTCTGCTTGGGTGGTGATGGCACTGTCATCAGCGTAGATAGAACTCTTTGTCCCTTCTGGCAGAGGCTGATCATTTGTGTAAATGTTAAACACGAGGAACTGTTTTAACAGGCCTTAGGAAGGTTGAGAAACACTTACCTAAAGCTTTGGAGAGTTTCAATTCAACCATTTCCAAGCTCTCTGCTTGGGTGGTGATGGCACTGTCGTCAGCGTAGATAGAACTCTTTGTCCCTTCTGGCAGTGGCTGATCATTTGTGTAAATGTTAAACACGAGGAACTGTTTTAAGAGGCATTAGGAAGGTTGAGAAACACTGACCTAAAGCTTTGGAGAGTTTCAATTCAACCATTTCCAAGCTCCCTGCTTGGGTGGTGATGGCACGATCGTCAGCGTAGATGGTCACTCTTCTAGTTTTCTAGATCTATGCTCACTCTTCTAGTTTCAAGCTCCAAAGCATCAGTGCTATAGTCCATCCGTACTCGCCATCTCTGTATGTTATGGTCACTCTTCTAGTTTCTAGATCTACGGTCACTCTTCTAGTTCTATAGATTAGAAGAGCAGGTCCATCCGTACCTGCCATCTCCATATGTTATGGTCACTCTTCTAGTTTCTAGATCTATGGTCACTCTTCTAGTTGTATAGATTAGAAGAGCAAGTCCATCCGTGCTCGCCATCTCRGTATGTTATGGTCACTCTTCTAGTTTCTAGATCTATGGTCACTCTTCTAGTGCTGTAGGTTAGAAGAGCAGGTCCATCCATACTCGCCATCTCCGTATGTTATGGTCACTCTTCTAGTTTCTAGATCTATGGTCACTCTTCTAGTTCCAAGCTCCAAGGCGTCAGCGCTATAGTCCATCCTTACTCGCCATTTCCGTATGTTATGGTCACTCTTCTATTTTCTAGATCTATGGTCACTCTTCTAGTGCTGTAGGTTAGAAGAGCAGATCCATCCGTACTCGCCATCTCTGCATGTTATGGTCACTCTTCCAGTGTCTAGATCTATGGTCAGTCTTCTAGTTCCAAGCTGCAAGGCGTCAGTGCTATAATCCATCCGTACTTGCCATCTCTGTATGTTATGGTCACTCTTCTGTTTTCTAGATCTATGGTCCCTCTTCTAGTGCTATAGATTAGAAAAAATACCTGCCATCTCTGTATGTCATGGTCACTCTTCTAATTTCTAGATCTATGGTCCCTCTTCTAGTTCTAGCTCCAAGGCGTCAGTGCTGCAGTCCATCCGTGCTCGCCATCTCCTTATGTTACGGTCACTCTTCTAGTTTCTAGATCTATGGTCACTCTTCCAGTTTGTAGATCTATGGTAACTCTTCTAATTTCTATATCTATGGTCACTCTTCTAGTTCCAAGCTCCAAGGCGTCAGTGATACAGTCCATCTGTACTCGCATCTCCTTATGTTATGGTCACTCCCCTAGTTTCTAGATCTATGGTCACTCTTCTAGTTTCTACATCTATGGTCACTCTTCTAGTTCCAAGCTTCAAGGCGTCAGTGCTACAGTCCATCCGTACTCGCCATCTCCGTATGCTATGGTCACTCTTCTAGTTTCTAGATCTATTGTCACTCTTCTAGTTTCTAGATCTATGGTCACTTTTCTAATTTCTACATCTATGGTCACTCTTCTAGTTTCAAGCTCCAAGGCGTCAGTGATACAGTCCACCTGTACTCGCCATCTCCATCTGTTATGGTCACTCTTCTAGTTTCTACATCTATGGTCACTCTTCTAGTTTCTACATCTATGGTCACTCTACTAGTTTCTAGCTTCAAGGTGTCATTGCTATAGTCAATCTGTACTCGCTATTTCCGTATGTTATGGTCCCTCTTCTAGTTTCTAGATCTATGGTCACTTGCTCCAAGGCGTCAGTGCTATAGTTATTCCTTACTCGCCATTTCCATATGTTATGGTCCCTCTTCTAGCTTTCTAGATCTATGGTCACTCTTGTTTCATGCTCCAAGGCGTCAGTGCTACAGTCCATCCGTACTCGCTATCTCCGTATGATATGGTCTCTCTTCTAGTGTCTAGATCTACGGTCACTCTCCTAGTTCCAAGCCCAGAGCGTCAGTGCTGCAGTCCATCCGTACTCGCCATCTCCTTATGTTACGGTCACTCTTCTAGTTTCTACATCTATGGTCAATCTTCTAGTTTCTACATCTATGGTCACTCTACTCGTTTCTAGATCTATGGTCACTCTTCTAGTTTCTAGATCTATGGTCACTCTTCTAGTTTCTACATCTATGGTCACTCTACTAGTTTCTACATCTATGGTCACTCTACTAGTGACCATAGTCACTAGTTTAAAGGTGTCATTGCTATAGTCCATCCGTACTCGCCATTTCCGTATGTTATGGTCATTCTATTAGGTTCTAGATCTATGCTCACTCGCTCCAAGGCGTCAATGCTATAGTCCAGCCGAGCCCACCATCTCCGTATGTTATGGTCCCTCTTCTAGTTTCTAGATCTATGGTCACTCGCTCCATAGTGTCAGTGCTATAGTTAATCCTTACTCGCCATCTCCATATGTTACGGTCTCTCTTCTAGTTTCTAGATCTATAGTCACTCTCCTAGTTTCAAGCTCCACGGCGTTAGTGCTATAGTCATAGTATAGTATAGTATACTATAGTATACTCGCCATCTCCGTATGTTATGGGCCCTCTTCTAGTTTCTAGATCTATGATCACTTCTAGTTTCAAGTTGCAAGGCGTCAGTGCTATAGTCCATCCGTACTCGCCATCTCCGTATGTTATGGTCTATCTTCTAGATTTCTAGATCTATGGTCCGTCTTCTAGTTCCTATCGCCAAGGTGTGGTGACGTCATTGTTATGATTGCTGCGTGATTCCGACGCCTGGCGTGCGTTTGCGTCACGGCGTCGACGACGTGTTCTCGCGTGAGGAGAGTCGCTTCCTCTCGCGAGGCTTGCCGGGGCCTGGAGGCAGAGGCGCGATGGCGGCGGAGTGGGGCCGGCGCCAGGAAGAAGAAGAGGGAGAGCGGGCCGAGCAGCGCGGGAGGCCCTTCCGGAGGCGGAGAGCGAGGCAGGCCGGGGGCCCCGCCGGACAGGGACAGGCCTGCGCCTGAGGGAGGAAGGAAGGAAGGAGTCCGCCATGAGCCAAGGCAGCGGAGGAGGAGGAGGAGGGGAGCCCGAGGCCAAGGCCCTCCACACCAAGAGGCTCTACCGGTGAGGAGGAGGGGAGAGGGAGAGAGAGAGGGACCCCCAAAGGCCATCCATCCCAACCCCCTCCTGCCCCAAAGGAAGGCACCATATTATTCTCATCTCTTATTATTATTAGTATTATTAGTAGTAGTATTATAGTGATGATAGTAATCATATATTGTTATTTATATTGAATCTTAGAGCCAGAAGAGACCCCCCAAGGGCCATCCATCCCACACCCCCTCCAGTCCCAAAAGAAAGGCACCATATTATTCTCATCTATTATTATTATTATTATTATTATTAGTAGTAGTAGTAGTAGTAGTATTATACTGATGATAATAATAATAATAATAATAATAATAATAATAATAATAGTAATAATAATAATAATATGTTGTTATAATTAATGAATTTTAGAGCCAGAAGAGACCCCCAAGGGCCATCCATCCCAACCACCTTCTGCCACAAAGGGAGGAACCATATTACTCTCGTCATCTATAATAATAATAATAATAATGAATCTTACATCCAGAAGGGACCCCCAAGGGCCATCCATCCCAACCCCCTCCTGCCACAAAGGGAGGAACCATATTACTCTCATCATCATCTATATAAATAATAATCATAATAATATATTATTATTATTGAATTTTCCATCCATCCCAACCCCCTCCTGCCACAAAGGGAGGAACCATATTACTCTCATCATCTATTATTAGTATTATTATTATTATTAGTAGTATTATTATTGAATCATAGAAGAGACCCCCAAGGGCCAGCCATCCCAAGCCCCTCCTGCCAGAAAGAAAGGCACCGTATTACTATCATCATCTATAATATATTATTATTATTATTATTATTATTATTATTATTATTATTATTGAATCATAGAAGAGACCCCCAAGGGCCAGCCATCCCAAGCCCCTCCTGCCCAAGAGGAAGGCACCAGATTACTCTCATCTATTAATATTATTAGTAGTATTGTTATATTGATGATAATAGTAATAATATATTGTTATTATTATTGAATCTGTGAGCCAGAAGAGACTCCCAAGGGCCATCCATCCCAACCCCCTCCTGCCTCAAAGGAAGGCACCGTATTACTATCATCATCATCTATAATAATAATAATAATAATAATAATAATAATAATGGAAGTCATCGTATTACTATTTTTATCATCTATATTATTATTATTATTATTATTATTATTAGTATTATTATTATTATTATTGAATCTTACAGCCAGAAGAGACCCCTAAGGGCCATCCATCCCAACCCCCTCCTGCCCCAAAGGAAGGCACCATATTACTCTCATCATCTATAATAATATTAATAATATTATTAATAATAATAGTAATATGTTGTTATTATTATTATTGTTATTGAAAATTACAGCCAGAAGAGACCTCCAAGGGCCATCCATCCCAACCCCCTCCTGGCATAAAGGAAGGCACCATATTATTATCATCATCAACAACATATATTATTATTTATTATTATTATTGATTCATAGAAGAGACCCCCAAGGGCCATCCATCCCAACCCCCTCCTGCCACAAAGGAAGGCACCTTATTACTATCTATAGTAATAATAAGTAGAATAAGAGTATATTATTATTATTATTATTACTATTGAATCTTAGAGCCGGAAGAGACCCCCAAGGAACATCTATCCCAACCCCCTCCTGCCAGAAATAAAGGCACCATATTACGATCATAATCTATAATAATATATTATTGTTGTTGTTGTTGTTGTTGTTATTGAATCTTAGAGCCAGAAGAGACCCCCAAGGGCCATCCATCCCAACCCTCTCCTGCCAGAAAGGAGGACACCATCTCAAGATAATAATAATAATAATAATAATAATAATAATAATAATAGTTGTTGTTGAATCTTAGAGTCAGAGGAGACCCCAAAGGCCCATCAATTCCAACCTCCTTCTACCATAAAGGAAGGCATCCAGATTGTTGTCGTCCTTGTCAAGGTTGTTGTTGTTGTTGTTATTATTATAATAGAATCTTAGCATCAGAAGAAACTCCCAGAGCCCATTCATTCCAATCCCCTTCAGCCATAAAGAAAGGCACAATGAAAACACCTCCAACAGATGGCCATCCAGCCTCTGCTTAATAATAATAATAATAATAATAATTCTATACAATTCTAGAGTGGGAAGGGACCCCCAGGACTATCCATTCCAACTCCCGTCCAGCCTCTGCTTAAGAACCTCCAGGGAAGGAGACTCTTATCGTCCCATGTTCCCTCTTTTTTACCCTCCCCAGCTTCCTTCAGCCGCTCCTCATAGGGCTTTGCTTCCAAACTTTTGATCATGTTGTTGGCCTTTCTTTGGATACCTTCCACCTTGTCTACGCCTTCCTTGAGTGTGATATTGAGCGTAATATTTCCAATATGTGTTTGACAGAGCGGTGGTGGAAGCCGTGCACAGACTGGATCTCATTCTTGGAAACAAGGCAGCGTATCAAGAAGTCTTCAAGCCGGAGAACATCAGCCTGAGAAACAAGTGAGCAAGCCGTTGGGCCTTCTCCCTTTCAGACTCATCCAGGAGTGGGTCTACCATTTGGTTTGGTACCATTTCCGCTGCCTTGACTCAATGCTGTGGAATCATGGGGATTGTAGTTCTGCCAGACTTCGACAAACTACAACTTCCAGGGATTCGATTAGCAATTCACCGTCTCCCTTCTTGTTTCCCCGCTTCCGTTTTGGAACCCAGGCTCCGCGAATTGTGTGTGAAGCTCATGTTCTTGCACCCAGTGGATTATGGGAGGAAAGCCGAGGAGTTGCTCTGGAGGAAGGTTTACTACGAAGTCATCCAGCTCATTAAGACAAACAAAAAGGTCAGTTGCTTTACTCCAGTCCTTTCTGTCTTAACGTGTGCTCGATCTGCAGGAAGATAATAATAATGATCAGCACACTGGATGCAGTGCCTAAAGACCTTGGCCTGCACTTAAACACCATCGGCCATGACAAAATTACCTTCTGTCAGCTAATAATAGTAATAATAATAATAAAGCATTTGACGCACTGCCACATTGTTGGATTATCAAATGTCTAGATGTCATCGGGGTTTGTGAAAATATTAGAACAAGTCAAGGGGGTCCCAGTGGTGATCAGCACACTGGGTGAGGTGCCTCAAGACCTTGGCCTGCACTTAAACACAATCGGGGCTGACAAAATTACCATCGGCCAGCTGCAGAAGGCCACCTTACTGGGATCTGCACCCATTATTCGCTGATACATCACACAGTCCTAGACACTTGGACTGTATATTATATATATTATAATATATAACCATATGTTTCTCATTTGCTGTGACATACTGTGTTATTGTGTCAGTAAAATAATAGTAATCTATAACATACAATATATATAATAAATATAATATATATATATTATATAATATATAACTATATATAATTTGCTGTGACATACTGTTTTTGTGTCAGTAAAATAATAATAATAATAATCTATAACATATAATATATATAATAAATATTATAATGTATATATATTATATATAATCATATATATCTCATTTGCTGTGACATACTGTGGTTTTGTGTCAGTAAACCAATAATAATCTATAACATATAATATATATAATATTATAATGTATATATATATTATATATAATCATATATATCCCATTTGCTGTGACATACTGTGTTTTTGTGTCAGTAAAATAATAATAATGATCTATAACATATATAATATATATAATAAATATTATAATGTATATATATTATATATAATCATATATATCTCATTTGCTGTGACATACTGTGGTTTTGTGTCAGTAAAACAATAATAATCTATAACATATAATATATATAATATTATAATGTATATATATATATATATTATATGATCATATATATCCCATTTGCTGTGACATACTGTGTTTTGTGTCAGTAAAATAATAATAATGATCTATAACATATATAATATATATAATAAATATTATAATGTATGTATATTATATATAATCATATATATCTCGTTTGCTGTGACATACTGTGGTTTTGTATCAGTAAAATAATAATAATAATAATAATAATAATAATAAGCATAGAGATCTAGTTTGCTGTGACATACTGTGTTATTGTGTCAGTAAAGAAATAATAATAATATATAACATATATAATATATCTAAAATATAATATATATAATATATATCTCATTTGCTGTGATGTAGTGTGGTTTTGTGACAGTAAAATAATAATAATAATAATAATAATAATAATATAAGCATAGAGATCTCGTTTGCTGTGGCATACTGTGGTTTTGTGTCAGTAAAATGATAATAATAATCTATAACATATAATAAATACTATAAATATTATAATATATATATAATTATAATACAATCATATATATCTCAGTTCATCTGCCTCTGCTGGGATTTATAGTTCACCTACAATTACAGAGCATTCTGAACCTCACCAATGATAGAATTGGGCCAAACTTCTCACCCAGAACCCGCATGTCCAACAGAAAATTCTGTGTTTTCTGACGGTCTTTGGCGACCCCTCTGATACCCCCTCGCGACCCCTCCAGGGGCCGCGACCCTCAGGTTGAGAAACACTGTTCTAAGTAAACGTGAAGCGTTGACGATTCCCTCCTCTCCTTGTCCCGCAGCACATTCACAGCCGCAGCACTCTGGAGTGTGCCTACCGGACGCACCTCATTGCCGGCATCGGGTTTTACCAGCACCTCCTTCTCTACATCCAGTCCCACTACCAGCTGGAGCTGCAGTGTTGCATCGACTGGACCCATGTTACGGACCCCCTGATTGGTCAGTATGCCAATGTTGGCACACCTTTTATTCTCTCCTGCTGGGTTACTTAAGTGATCCCTCGTCTGAGTTGGATAGTCTTACAAGATCGGTGTCCTGGGGGTGGCTGTGGAGCCCGATTCTTGATCCGCATGTTCTCCTGCAGTAAGGACATGCGTTCCTAGGCAGAAAGCAATCCCAGGCGGGGTTGGCTTGACGCATCTTCTTCCTCTTGGCACGTTTCTCCCTTTTGCTCTCCATTCATACCTCTTCAAATTCTGCAGCACTGCTGGTCACAGCTGACCTCCAGTTAGAGCACTCAAGGGCCAGGACTTCCTAGTTCTTGGTGTCTATGCCAGAGTTGTTAAGGTTGGCTTTAAGCCCATCTTTCTCTTTTTTTAAAAAATAAATAAATTTTTATTTGGTATAGAAAGAAAAAGAATATATATATCTATACACATAATAAAAGTGGAAATCTGTATGTGTGTATGTGGCACACAGCAAACAGAGGCATTGATCTGCAACTGATCATACTGGAGACGTTTGGAGAGAAATCACCATGATTTATAGTTGTAGGGACTGGGATGCATAGTTCACCTGCAGTCTAAGACCACTCTGAACTGCACCAACAATAGACCTGGAACTCACTTGGCACACAGACCCACCATGGGCAATTGTCCATACTTGCAGAGTTAAGGGGTGATTACCCTGGGAATTGTAGTTCACCCTTATCCAAAGAACAGTGAACCCAGCCAACAATGGATCTGGCCCAAACTTGCCACACACAACCAACATGGCCAATTGTGCATACTGGCTGGGCTTGGGGGTGATTGCCCTGGGGATCTGGGAGTTGTAGTTCACCCTTATCTAGATATCACCGAACCCAGCTGCTGTCAGATCTGGACTAAACTTGCCACGCAGAACCAACATGGCCAATTGTGCATACTGGCTGGGCTTGGGGGTGATTGCCCTGGGGATCTGGGAGTTGTAGTTCACCCTTATCTAGATATCACCGAACCCAGCTGCTGTCAGATCTGGACTAAACTTGCCACGCAGAACCAACATGGCCAATTGTGCATACTGGCTGGGCTTGGGGGTGATTGCCCTGGGGATCTGGGAGTTGTAGTTCACCCTTATCTAGATATCACCGAACCCAGCTGCTGTCAGATCTGGACTAAACTTGCCACACAGAACCAACATGGCCAATTGTGCATACTGGCTGGGCTTGGGGGTGATTGCCCTGGGGATCTGGGAGTTGTAGTTCACCCTTATCTAGATATCACCGAACCCAGCTGCTGTCAGATCTGGACTAAACTTGCCACACAGAACCAACATGGCCAATTGTGCATACTGGCTGGGCTTGGGGGTGATTGCCCTGGGGATCTGGGAGTTGTAGTTCACCCTTATCTAGATATCACCGAACCCAGCTGCTGTCAGATCTGGACTAAACTTGCCACACAGAACCAACATGGCCAATTGTGCATACTGGCTGGGCTTGGGGGTGATTGCCCTGGGGATCTGGGAGTTGTAGTTCACCCTTATCTAGATATCACTGAACCCAGCTGCTGTCAGATCTGGACTAAACTTGCCACACAGAACCAACATGGCCAATTGTGCATACTGGCTGGGCTTGGGGGTGATTGCCCTGGGGATCTGGGAGTTGTAGTTCACCCTTATCTAGATATCACCGAACCCAGCTGCTGTCAGATCTGGACTAAACTTGACACACAGACCCAACATGGCCAACTTTAAGTAATGGCAGGGTTTGGGAAGGACTGACCCACGATTCTGGAAATTGTAGTTCACCCACAACCTTATGCATTTTCTAATGGGACCATTCATTTTTTTAAAAACCCAAAAAAGTAAGACTGTTTTCCCCTAAGAAATAGCATTACACATTACCAAACTGATATTACCAAACTTCACAAAACAAACAATGCCTTTCTCAAATAACCCGGGCAGCGCCGGGTCCCCAAGCTAGTATATATATAATTTCCAAGTACATAATGTTTTAAATAGTAGGAAATCAAGAAAATAGAAATATGCCAAAAAAAAGAGGAAAAAGAGAAAGAAAAAATGTATAAAAAATATGAAAAATTAAAAATAATATCTTATAATTTCCTTCTAATCCTGCATGAGTTCAATTTTATTGTCTATGTCAGTGTTTCTCAACCTTCCTAATGCCGTGACCCTTTAATACAGTCCCTCATGTTGTGGTGACCCCCAACCGTAATATTGTTTTCGTTGCTACTTCGTAACAGTCATTTTACTACTGTTATAAATCATATTGTAAATATCTGATATGCAGGATGCATTTTCATTCACTGGACCAAACTGGGCACTAATACCCAATACACCCAAATGTGAATGCTAGTGGGGTTGGGGGAGGATTGCTTTTGTAATCTGGGAGTTGTAGTTGCTGGGATTTATAGTTCACTTATAATCAAAGAGCATTCTGAACTCCACCAGCGATGGATTTGAACCAAACTTGGCTCGCATGACCAATGGGAAACACTGGAAGGGTTTGATGGGCATTGACCTTGAGTTTGGGAGTTGTAGTTCACCTATATCCAGAGAGCAATGTGGACTCATGCAATGGTGGATCTGGACCAAACTTGGCACGAATACTCAATATGCCCAAATGTGAACACTGGTGGAGTCTGGGGAAAATAGATCTTGACATTTGGGAGTTGTAGTTGCTGGGATTTATAGTACACCTACAATCAAAGAGCATTCTGAACCCTACCAACGATTGAATTGGGCTAAACTTCCCACATGGAATCCCCATGACCAACAGAAAATACTGTGTTTTCTGATGGTCTTTGGTGACCCCTCTGACACCACCTTGCGACCCCTCCAGGGGTCCCGACCCCCAGGTTGAGAAACATTGGTCTATGTGATCTTCCTAATTTTTTCTCATTTGACCACCCTTGTGTCTCATGTGGCTTTGAGCCCATCTTTAAGTCTCTTTTCCTGTCCACCAACATTCCGTTTTGCGTTCTTGAGTTCAGAGTAGAGCAACTGCTTTCGGAGATGGTGGTCGGACATCTGGACAACGTGGCCGGTCCAGCGGAGTTGATGGCGGAGGACCATCGCTTCAATGCTGGTGGTCTTTGCTTCTTCCAGCATGCTGACGTTTCCCCGCCTGTCTTCCCAAGAGATTTGCAGGATTTTCAGGAGGCAGCGCTGATGGAATCGTTCCAGGAGTTGCATGTGACGTCTGTAGACGTCCGCCATGTGTTGCTGTGGCCCAGTCTTTGTATATGTATTTTATATCAGCTATTATGATATAGATGTTCTCTTTGTGTCTGTAGGTTGTAAGAAACCGGTGTCTGCCTCGGAGAAGGAGATGGAGTGGGCCCAGATGGCCTGCCACCGGTGTCTGGTTTACCTGGGGGATCTAGGTGAGTAAAGCATCGTTGTCCTCTTCCTTTACACTTCCTTCTTTGCTTCCACGCTGGGCTTCTTTGTCATGCAGATAAACAACTTCGCTCGCACTGAGCCTCTTCTCGCACTGAAGTTACACAGGACCTTCACAAAGTAGTTTTTTATACACAGCAGTATTCACACTGGAACTTCACGCATGGTGGCCTTCAACTTGGGGCTTCTCTCACCGAAGCTTCTCATACAGAGGCCTACTAACTCTGAGGCCTATCTCACATGGAGGCCTATCTCACATGGAGGCCTTTCTCCTACTGAGACCGTCTCACACTGAGGGCTCTCTCAGACTGAGACCTTCTCACACTGAGGGCTCTCTCAGACTGAGGCCTTTCATATACTGAGGCAAACTAACTCTGAGGCCTTCCTCCCACTGAGACCTTCTCACACTGAGGGCTCTCTCTGAGGCCTTTCATATACTGAGGCAAGCTAACTCTGAGGGCTACCTCACACTGAGGCCTTTCTCCCACTGAGACCGTCTCACACTGAGGGCTCTCAGACTGGGGCCTTTCATATACTGAGGTGAACTAACTCTGAGGCCTACCTCACACGGAGGCCTTTCTCCCACTGAGACCTTCTCACACTGAGGGCTCTCTCAGACTGAGGCCTTTCATATACTGAGGCGAACTAACACTGAGGCCTTCTCATTCTGAGGCCTACTAACACACTGAGGCCCTTCTTCCCCAGAGACCTCTCACAGACTGAGGGCCTACCTATACACAGCAGTCTTCACACTGGAAGTTCACGCATGGTGGCTTTCAGCTTGGGTCTTCTCTCACCGAAGCTTCACACACCAGGCCTTCTCAGACAGAGGCCTACTAACTCTGAGGCCTACCTCACACGGAGGCCTTTCTCCCACTAAGACCTTCTCACACTGAGGGCTCTCTCAGACTGAGGCCTTTCATATACTGAGGCAAATTAACTCTGAGGCCTACCTCACACTGAGGCCTTTTTCCCACTGAGACCTTCTCACACTGAGGGCTCTCTCAGACTGAGGCCTTTCATATACTGAGGCGAACTAACTCTGAGGCCTATCTCACACTGAGGCCTTTCTCCCACTGAGACCATCTCACACTGAGAGCTCTCTCAGACTGAGGCCTTTCATATACTGAGGCGAACTAACTCTGAGGCCTACCTCACACGGAGGCCTTTCTCCCACTGAGACCTTCTCACACTGAGGGCTCTCTCAGACTGAGGCCTTTCATATACTGAGGCCTTCTCACTCTGAGGCCTACTAACACACTGAGGCCCTTCTTCCCCAGAGACCTCTCACAGATTGAGGGCTGCTAACACTGAGGGCTCCCTCAGACTGATGGCTACTAAGAACAAAAACACACAGACCATTGTTATCTCTTCCGTAGGAGGCTTTTCTTTGTAGTAAAATAATATGGTAGCACTGTTTATAAGAAGTAGGTTTCCATAACACAAATAAACAAATACATCGTAGCCTTTCACACAGCAGCCTTCGCACTGGAGCTTTCATTCACACAGAGGTCCACCTCACAATCCTCAGGATGACACTAGCTTTGGCCCACAGACTCTAACAGGCTTCGGCCTACTCACTCTTTCAGTGCTTGACTGTAATCAAAAATATTCATTTAATTTTTAATGTTTCTGACAGACCTTACGTTTCTTGTATGTCATTTTTCTTTGCACTCTTCTCAGCTTCTCTCACACAGAGGTCCACCTCACGTTCCTCAGGATGGCACTAGCTTTGGCCTACTGACTCTTAACAGGCCTACTAACTTTTAGTGCTTGACTCACACTTTTGTAATCAAAAATACTCAGATAATTTTTAATGTTTCTGACAGTCCTTACGTTTCTTGTATTTATGTTTCTTTGCACTCTTATCAGCTTGGTACACAAGGCTTCTCTCACACAGAGGTCCACCTCACATTCCTCAGGATGACACTAGCTTTGGCCCACTGACTCTAACAGGCTTCGGCCTACTCACTCTTCCAGTGGTTGACTCACACTTTTGTAATAAAAAATACCCATGGAGATTTCATTCACACAGAGGTCCGCCTCGCACTCCTCAGGATGACACTAGCTTTGGCTCATTCACTCTAATAGGCTTCGGCCTGCTCACTCTTTCAGTGCTCGACTTACACTTTTGTAATCAAAAATACCCACTTATTTTGTAATGTTTCTGACAGTTCTTACGTGTCTTGTATGTTATGTTTCTTCGCACTCTTATCAGCTCAGTACACAAGGCTTCTCTCACACAGAGGTCCACCTCACATTCCTCAGGATGACACTAACTTTGGCCCACTGACTCTAACAGGCTTCGGCCTACTCACTCTTTCAGTGCTTGACTCACACTTTTGTAATCAAAAATACCCATGGAGATTTCATTCACACAGAGGTCCGCCTCGCACTCCTCAGGATGACACTAGCTTTGGCTCACTGACTCTAACAGGCTTCGGCCTACTCACTCTTTCAGTGCTTGACTCACACTTTTGTAAACAAAAATACCCATGGAGATTTCATTCACACAGAGGTCCGCCTCGCACTCCTCAGGATGACACTAACTTTGGCTCACTGACTCTAACAGGCTTCGGCCTACTCACTCTTTCAGTGCTTGACTCACACTTTTGTAATCAAAAATACCCATGGAGATTTCATTCACACAGAGGTCCGCCTCGCACTCCTCAGGATGACACTAGCTTTGGCTCACTGACTCTAATAGGCTTCGGCCTACTCACTCTTTCAGTGCTCGACTCACACTTTTACCCAGTTAATTTGTATTTTTTCTGACAGTTCTTACGTTTTCTTGTATGTTATGTTTCTTCGCCCTCTTATCAGCTCGGTATCAGAACGAATTGGCCGGTGTGGATACCGAATTGCTGGCTGAGAGATTCTACTATCAAGCTCTTTCGGTTGCGCCGCAAATAGGTATGCATTCACACTTTAATATTTCATGTCAAGTAACCAGAGGGAAAATAATAATAATAATAATAATAATAATAATAATAATAATAATAATAAAAAATATGATAATATATTATATTAATATAATAATAAATATAATAATATAATTATTATATTAAAGTAATAGTAATAAATGTAATAATAATATAATAAATATATTAATATAATTATATTATATTAATATAATAATAATAATAATAATAATAATAATAATAATAATAATAATAATTCAACAGCCAGCAGAGTGTCTGCTGTGGACTCATTTTGTTGTGTTTCTAATAATAATAATAATAATAATAATAATAATAATAATAATAATAATAATTCAACAGCCAGCAGAGTGTCTGCTGTGGACTCATTTTGTTGTGTTTCTAATAATAATAATAATAATAATAATAATAATAATAATAACAGCCAGCAGAGTGTCTGCTGTGGACTCATCTTGTTGTGTTTTAATAATAATAATAATAATAATAATAATAATAATAATACTAATAATAATACTTCAACAGCCAGCAGAGTGTCTGCTGTGGACTCATCTTGTTGTGTTTATAATAATAATAATAATAATAATAATAATAATAATAATAATAATAATACTTCAACAGCCAGCAGAGTGTCTGCTGTGGACTCATCTTGTTGTGTTTATAATAATAATAATAATAATAATAATAATAATAATAATAATAATAATAATACTTCAACAGCCAGCAGAGTGTCTGCTGTGGACTCATCTTGTTGTGTTTATAATAATAATAATAATAATAATAATAATAATACTTCAACAGCCAGCAGAGTGTCTGCTGTGGACTCATCTTGTTGTGTTTCAAATACTAATACTAAAAATAATAATAATAATTCAACAGCCAGCAGAGTGTCTGCTGTGGACACATCTTGTTGTGTTTCTAATAATAATAATAATAATAATAATAATAATACTTCAACAGCCAGCAGAGTGTCTGCTGTGGACTCATTTTGTTGTGTTTCAAATACTACTACTACTACTACTACTACTAATAATAATAATAATAATAATTCAACAGCCAGCAGAGTGTCTGCTGTGGACTCATTTTGTTGTGTTTCTAATAATAATAATAATAATAATAATAATAATAATAATAATAATAATTCAACAGCCAGCAGAGTGTCTGCTGTGGACTCATTTTGTTGTGTTTCTAATAATAATAATAATAATAATAATATATAATAATAATAATACTTCAACAGCCAGCAGAGTGTCTGCTGTGGACTCATTTTGTTGTGTTTCAAATACTACTACTACTACTACTACTAATAATAATAATAATAATAATAATACTTCAACAGCCAGCAGAGTGTCTGCTGTGGACTCATTTTGTTGTGTTTCTAATAATAATAATAATAATAATAATAATAATAATAATAATAATAATAATTCAACAGCCAGCAGAGTGTCTGCTGTGGACTCATTTTGTTGTGTTTCAAATACTACTACTACTACTACTACTACTACTAATAATAATAATAATAATAATACTTCAACAGCCAGCAGAGTGTCTGCTGTGGACTCATTTTGTTGTGTTTCAAATACTACTACTACTACTACTAACTAATAATAATAATAATAATAATAATAATACTTCAACAGCCAGCAGAGTGTCTGCTGTGGACTCATTTTGTTGTGTTTCTAATAATAATAATAATAATAATAATAATAATAATAATAATAATACTTCAACAGCCAGCAGAGTGTCTGCTGTGGACTCATTTTGTTGTGTTTCAAATACTACTACTACTACTACTACTACTAATAATAATAATAATAATAATACTTCAACAGCCAGCAGAGTGTCTGCTGTGGACTCATTTTGTTGTGTTTCTAATAATAATAATAATAATAATAATAATAATTCAACAGCCAGCAGAGTGTCTGCTGTGGACTCATTTTGTTGTGTTTCTAATAATAATAATAATAATAATAATAATAATAATTCAACAGCCAGCAGAGTGTCTGCTGTGGACTCATTTTGTTGTGTTTCTAATAATAATAATAATAATAATAATAATAATAATAATAAATTCAACAGCCAGCAGAGTGTCTGCTGTGGACTCATTTTGTTGTGTTTCATAATAATAATAATAATAATAATAATAATAATAATTCAACAGCCAGCAGAGTGTCTGCTGTGGACTCATTTTGTTGTGTTTCTAATAATAATAATAATAATAATAATAATAATAATAATAATACTTCAACAGCCAGCAGAGTGTCTGCTGTGGACTCATTTTGTTGTGTTTCTAATAATAATAATAATAATAATAATAATTCAACAGCCAGCAGAGTGTCTGCTGTGGACTCATTTTGTTGTGTTTCTAATAATAATAATAATAATAATAATAATTCAACAGCCAGCAGAGTGTCTGCTGTGGACTCATCTTGTTGTGTTTCCTATAATAATAATAATAATAATAATAATAATAATAATAATAATAATACTTCAACAGCCAGCAGAGTGTCTGCTGTGGACTCATTTTGTTGTGTTTCTAATAATAATAATAATAATAATAATAATAATAATAATAATAATAATTCAACAGCCAGCAGAGTGTCTGCTGTGGACTCATTTTGTTGTGTTTCTAATAATAATAATAATAATAATAATAATAATAATAATAATATGAACCATCTAGGACCTTAGGACCTTAACAAGTCTCCTTTGGGACAGATAAAGTGGTATATTAAAATAATAATAATAATAATAATAATAATAATAATAATAATAATAATAATAATAATTCAACAGCCAGTTTTCACACTGGAACTTCAGGCGTGGTGGCTTTCAACTTGGGTCTTCTCTCACTGAAACTTCTCACACCAGGCCTTCTCAGACAGAGGCCTACTAACTCTGAGGCCTACCTCACACGGAGGCCTTTCTCCCACTGAGACCTCCTCACACTGAGGGCTTTCTCAGACTGAGGGCTTTCATATACTGAGGTGAAATAACACTGAGTCCTTCTCACTCTGAGGCCTACGAACACACTGAGGCCCTTCTTCCCCAGAGACCTCTCACAGACTGAGGGCCTACCTATACACAGCATTCTTCACACTGGAACTTCACGCATGTTGGCTTTCAACTTGGGTCTTCTCTCACCGAAGCTTCTCACACCAGGACGTCTCATACAGAGGCCTACTAACTCTGAGGCCTATCTCACACGGAGGCCTTTCTCCCACTGAGACCTTCTCACACTGAGGGCTCTCTCAGACTGAGGCCTTTCATATACTGAGGTGAAATAACACTGAGTCCTTCTCACTCTGAGGCCTACGAACACACTGAGGCCCTTCTTCCCCAGAGACCTCTCACAGACTGAGGGCCTACCTATACACAGCAGTCTTCACACTGGAAGTTCACGCATGGTGGCTTTCAGCTTGGGTCTTCTCTCACCGAAGCTTCACACAACAGGCCTTCTCAGACAGAGGCCTACTAACTCTGAGGCCTACCTCACACGGAGGCCTTTCTCCCACTGAGACCTTCTCACACTGAGGGCTCTCTCAGACTGAGGCCTTTCATATACTGAGGCGAACTAACACTGAGGCCTACTAACACACTGAGGCCCTTCTTCCCCAGAGACCTCTCACAGACTGAGGGCCTACCTATACACAGCAGTCTTCACACTGGACCTTCTCACACTGAGGGTGCTCTCAGACTGAGGCCTTTCATATACTGAGGCGAACTAACGCTGAGGCCTCCTCACTCTGAGGCCTACGAACACACTGAGGCCCTTCTTCCCCAGACTGAGGGCCTACCGATAGGTTCCCAATTTAGATAGACCTAGAGGTAGACTGGCGTTGACTTCTTTATTCTGGCGGTTACAGGGATGCCTTTTAACCAGCTGGGGACATTGGCCGGGAGCAAATTCTACAACGTGGAAGCCACCTACTGCTATTTCCGCTGGTGAGTACTGCGGAATAATAGTCCTTGAGTTTGGGAGGTGAACTACAACTCCCAAATTCAAGGCCCACCAAACCCTTCTAGTGTTTTCTATTGGGAGTCCTGTGTGCCACGTTTGGTTCAATTGCATCGTTGGTGGAGTTTAGAATGCTCTGTGATTGTAGGTGAACTATAAATCCCAGTAACTACAAATCCCAAATGTCATGGTCTATTTCCCTCAAGCTCCATCTGTGTTCCTAGTTGGGCATATGGAGTATTCATGCCAAGTTTGGTCCAGATCCATCATTGTTTGAGTCCACAGTGCTCTCTGGATGTCGGTGAACTACAACTCCCAAACTCAAGGTCCACCAAACCCTTCTAGTGTTTTCTATTGCTCAGGGGAGTCCTGTGTGCCAAGTTTGGTTCAATTCCATCGTTGGTGGAGTTCAGAATGATCTGTGATTGGAGGTGAACTATAAATCCCAGAAACAACAACTCCCAAATGACAAAATCAATTTTTTGAGGGATGGTCACTCCTTGGGTCAGTAGGTGTCTTGTGGCCAAATTTGGTGTGCAATTTGTCCATTTTTATTTCTATAGATTCTGTTTTAATGTTTACATATTGGTATATTTTCAACTAGCTGTACCCGCCACGTGTTGCTGTGGCCAACTTTCCCTCCGCCTGTCTCTCCTCCTTTCTTTCTCTCCTTCTCTCCTTCCTTTCCCTCCCTCTTTCCTTCCTTCTTTCCCTTTCTTTCGTTCTTTCTTTCTCTCCTTCCTTTCCTTCTCTTCCTCCCTTGTGCATGTGGCCGGGCTCAGGGTGCATTGCAGCAGGTGGTCAGTGGTTTGCTCCTCTCCACACTCGCATGTCATGGACTCCACTGTGTGGCCCCATTTCTTGAGGTTGGCTCTGCATCTCGTGGTGCCAGAGCGCAGTCTGTTCAGCGCCTTCCAAGTCGCCCAGTCTTCTGTGTGCCCAGGGGGGAGTCTCCCATTTGGTATCAGTTCTGGGTTTGAGCCTGCCACTTTTGGACTCTTGCTTGCTGGGGTGTTCCAGTGAGTGTCTCTGTAGATCTTAGACAACTATTTCTTGATTTAAGTCGTTGACGTGCTGGCTGATACCCAAACAAGGGATGAGCTGGAGATGTCTCTCCCTTGGTCCTTTCACTATTGGCTGCTACTTCCCGGCGGATGTCAGGTGGTGCAATACCGGCTAAACAGTGTAATTTCTCCAGTGGTGTAGGGCGCAGACACCCCGTGGTAATGCGGCATGTCTCATTAAGAGCCACATCCACTGTTTTAGCGTGGTGAGATGCATTCCACACTGAGGCAAGCATACTCAGCAGCAGAGTAGCACAGCGCAAGGGCAGATGTCTTCACTGTGTCTGGTTGTGATCCCCATGTTGTGCCAGTCAGCTTTCGTATGATATTGTTTCTAGCGCCCACTTTTTGCTTGATATTCACGCAGTGCTTCTTGAAGGTCAGAGCACGGTCCAGAGTGACTCCCAGGTATTTGGGTGCGCTGCAATGCTCCAGTGGGATTCCTTCCCAGGTAATCATCCTCAGAGCTCGGGATGCTTCTCTGTTCTTGAGATGAAAAGCACATGTCTGTATTTTAGATGGATTAGGGATCAGCTGGTTTTCCCTGTAGTAGGCAGTAAGAGCACCTAGAGCTTCTGTTCAACCATCTCAAAACTTCCTGCTTGGGTGGTGATGGCATGATCATCAGCATAGATGAAGCTCTCTGTCCCTTCTGGCAGTGGCTGGTCATGTGTGTCGATGTTGAACATGGATGGGGCAAGCACGCTCCCCTGAGGCAGGCCGTTCTTCTGTTTCCCCCATCTGCTTCTCTGGCTCTGGAACTCAACAAAATAGCTCCTGTTCGGTAGCTGATTTCCTTGAGTGGTGATGGCACGATCATCATAGATGAAGCTCTCTGTCCCTTCTGGCAGTGGCTGGTCATCTGTGTAGATGTTGAACATGGATGGAGTAAGCACGCTCCCCTGAGGCAGGCCGTTCTTCTGTTTCCACCATCTGCTTCTCTGGCCCTGGAACTCAACAAAGAAGCTCCTGTTTTGTAGCAGATTTCCTATGAGGCGGGTGAGGTGGTCGTCCTTTGTGATATTATACATTTTTCTCAGGAGGAGGCGGTGGTTCCCAGTCTCATAGGCTGCTGACAAGTCTATGAAGACAGCTCGTGTGATCTGCTGCCTTTCAAAGCCATCTTCTATGTGCTGAGTCAGGTTCAGCACTTGCGATGTGCAGCTTCTGCCTTTCCTGAAGCCAGCTTGCTGTGGGATCAGACTGGGGTCTATATTTTCCAAACGAGTCTCTCCAGGACTTTGTAGAGGTGGCAAAGCAGGGAGATTGGTCTGTAGCTTTTTGGGTCATTACAGTCTTTGCCTGGCTTCAAGATGGCGATGACTCTGTCTTTCCTCCAGATTTTGGGGATCTGACAGGATGCCGTGCAGTTGTTCATCAGTGTTTATGAGTGAAGGACATACATTGTTTTGTTGGGTGTATTGCGTCCAAATTTGGTGTCAAGTCGCCCAGTGGTTGTTGAGTTGTGTTCATCCCATTTTCCTTCCGTGCCTCTTTAGTATCCAGTCAGAAGTGTCCTTCGAAGGGGCTTACGGGAACCTCAAGCGCCTCTACGACAAGGCGGCCAAAATGTATCACCAGCTGAAGAAATGCGAAACCAGGAAGCTGTCGCCCAGCAAAAAGAGGTACGGACGGGCCTGGCGCCTGACTTCCAGCAATTGGGAACCTTATTTACCTTCCTCTCTAGGACTTCCCTCTCACACACCTTCATAGCTTCACCTTGTCTCCTTTGCTATGCTAAAATATAATATAATATATTGTATATAGATATAATATTTAGATTATTATAATTTAATACAGTATAATAGGTAAAGGTTTTCCCCTGACATGAAGTCCAGTCGTGTCCGACTCTGGGACTCTGGTGCTCACCTCCATTTCTAAGCTGAAGAGTCGGCGTTGTCCATAGACACCCCCAAGGTCATGTGGCCACTGACATGACTGCACGGAGCATTGTTACCTTCCCACCGGAGCGGTACCTATTCATCTACTCACATTTGCATGTTTTCGAACTGCTAGGTTGGCAGGAGCTGGGGCTAATAGCAGAAGCTCACGCCGCTCCCCGGATTTGAACCTGCGATCTTTTGGTCCACAAGCTCAGCAGCTCAGCACTTTAACCCTCTACGCTACCGGGGGCTCCAATTATAATAATATGATATTATAATTATATATAATTATATATTATATATAATTATATATTTCATATTACCTGTAATATTACTAATAATATTACAATATAATTGTATAGAACAATAAAGTGATGTATAGCGCTGGTATAATGTATTGTGTGTGTGTATATATATATATGTGTGTGTGTGTGTGTATATGTGTGTGTGTGTGTGTGTGTGTGTGTGTGTATATATATATATATATATATATATATGTATGTATCTTGTAAGGCGCTCTGAGTCCCCTTCAGGTGAGAAGGGCAGCATATAAATATAAATCAATAAATCAATAGCTATGCAGCTTGGAGGACACACAATTGTGTTGATTGTTCCTTTCGTCTGTTCCGATCCTTAGGTGCAAAGACATCAAGCGGTTGCTGGTGAGCTTCATGTACTTGCAGAGCCTCCTTCAGCCAAAAAGCAGGTGAGCCTCTTCCTGTGGGCAAATCGTACTCTCTCCATCATTGGTGGAGTTCAGAATGCTCTTTGATTGTAGGTGAACTATAAATTCCAGCAACTACAAGGTCTGTTTCCCTCCAAACTCCACCAGTGTCCACATTTGGGCATATTGAGTATTCGTACCAAGCTTGGTCCAGATCCATCATTGATTGAGTGCCTGGGTGTTGGTGAACTACAACTCCCAAACTTAAAAGTCAATGCTCACCAAACCCTTCTAGTGTTTTCTGTTGGTTGTGGGAGTTCTGTATGCCAAGTTTGGTTCAATTCCATCATTGGTGAAGCTCAGAATTCTCTTTGATTGTAGGTGAACTATAAATCCCAGCAACTACAAGGTCTGTTTCCCCCCAAACTCCACCAGTGTCCACATTTGGGTATATTGAGTATTGGTGCCAGGTTTGGTCCTGATACATCATTGCTTGAGTCTCTGGATGTTGGTGAACTACAACTCCCAAACTCAAGGTCAATGCCCACCAAACCCTTCTAGTGTTTACTGTTGGTCGTGGGAGTTCTGTATGCCAAGTTTGGTTCAATTCCATCATTGGTGAAGCTCAGAATTCTCTTTGGTTGTAGGTGAACTATAAATCCCAGTAAATACAACTCCAAATGTCAAGGTCTAGCTTCCCCAAGCACTACCAGTGTTCACATTTGTTTGAGTCCACAGTGCTCTCTGGATGTTGATGAACTGGATGTTAGTGAACTACAACTCCCAAACAGAAGGTCAATGCCCACCATACCTTTTTAGCGTTTTCTGTTGGTCATGGTGAACAACAACTCCCAAAGTCAAAGTCATGGGAGTTCTGTGTGCCAAGTTTGGTTCAATTCTATCACTGGTGAAGCTCAGAATGCTCTTTGATTGTAGGTGAACTATAAATCCCAGCAACTACAAGGTCTGTTTCCCCCCAAACTCCACCAGTGTTCACATTTTGGGCATATTGAGTATTTGTGCCAAGCTTGGTCCAGATCCATCATTGTTTGAGTCTCTGGATGTAGGTGAACTACAACTCCCAAATTCAAGGTCAATACCCACCAAACCCTTCTAATGTTTACTATTGGTCGTGGGAGTTCTGTATGCCAAGTTTGGTTCAATTCCATCATTGGTGAAGCTCAGAATGCTCTGATTGTAGGTGAACTATAAATCCCAGTAAGTACAACTCTCAAATGTCAAGGCCTATTTTCCCCCAAACTCCACCAGTGTCCACATTTGGGCATATTGAGTATTTGTGCCAAGCTTGGTCCAGATCCATCATTGTTTGAGTCTCTTGATGTTGGTGAACTACAACTCCCAAACTCAAGGTCAGTGCCCACCAAACCCTTCTAGTGTTTACTATTGGTCGTGGGAGTTCTGTATGCCAAGTTTGGTTCAATTCCATCATTGGTGAAGCTCAGAATTCTCTTTGGTTGTAGGTGAACTATAAATCCCAGTAAATACAACTCCAAATGTCAAGGTCTAGCTTCCCCAAGCACTACCAGTGTTCACATTTGTTTGAGTCCACAGTGCTCTCTGGATGTTGATGAACTGGATGTTAGTGAACTACAACTCCCAAACAGTAGGTCAATGCCCACCATACCCTTTTAGCGTTTTCTGTTGGTCATGGTGAACAACAACTCCCAAAGTCAAAGTCATGGGAGTTGGTCATGGGAGTTCTATGTGCCAAGTTTGGTTCAATTCCATCACTGGTGAAGCTCAGAATGCTCTTTGATTGTAGGTGAACTATAAATCCCAGTAAATAGAACTCCCAAATGTCAAGGTCTATCTTCCCCAAACTCCACCGGTGTTCACAGTTGGGCATGTTGAGTATTGGTGCCGAGCTTGGTCCAGATCCATCATTGCTTGAGTCTCTGGATGTTGGTGAACTACAACTCCCAAACTCAAGGTCAATGCCCACCAAACCCTTCGAATGTTTACTATTGGTCGTGGGAGTTCTGTATGCCATGTTTGGTTCAATTCCATCATTGGTGGAGTTCAGAATGCTCTGATTGTAGGTGAACTATAAATTACAGCAACTACAAGGTCTGTCCCCCCCCCCCCAAACTCCACCAGTATTCACATTTGGGCATATTGAGTATTTGTGCCAAGCTTGGTCCAGATCCATCATTGATTGAGTGTCTGGAGGTTGGTGAACTACAACTCCCAAACTCAAAAGTCAATGCCCACCAAACCCTTCTAGTGTTTACTGTTGGTCATGGGAGTTCTGTGTGCAGAGTTTGGTTCAATTCCATCACTGGTGAAGCTCAGAATTCTCTTTGGTTGTAAGTGAACTATAAATCCCAGTAAATACAACTCCAAATGTCAAGGTCTAGCTTCCCCAAGCACTACCAGTGTTCACATTTGTTTGAGTCCACAGTGCTCTCTGGATGTTGATGAACTGGATGTTAGTGAACTACAACTCCCAAACAGAAGGTCAATGCCCACCATACCTTTTTAGCGTTTTCTGTTGGTCATGGTGAACAACAACTCCCAAAGTCAAAGTCATGGGAGTTCTGTGTGCCAAGTTTGGTTCAATTCTATCACTGGTGAAGCTCAGAATGCTCTTTGATTGTAGGTGAACTATAAATCCCAGCAACTACAAGGTCTGTTTCCCCCCAAACTCCACCAGTGTTCACATTTTGGGCATATTGAGTATTTGTGCCAAGCTTGGTCCAGATCCATCATTGTTTGAGTCTCTGGATGTAGGTGAACTACAACTCCCAAATTCAAGGTCAATACCCACCAAACCCTTCTAATGTTTACTATTGGTCGTGGGAGTTCTGTATGCCAAGTTTGGTTCAATTCCATCATTGGTGAAGCTCAGAATGCTCTGATTGTAGGTGAACTATAAATCCCAGTAAGTACAACTCTCAAATGTCAAGGCCTATTTTCCCCCAAACTCCACCAGTGTCCACATTTGGGCATATTGAGTATTGGTGCCAAGCTTGGTCCAGATCCATCATTGCTTGAGTCTCTGGATGTTGGTGAACTACAACTCCCAAATGTCAAGGTCTATTTTCCCCCAAACTCCACCAGTGTCCACATTTGGGCATATTGAGTATTTGTGCCAAGCTTGGTCCAGATCCATCATTGTTTGAGGCTCTGGGTGTTGGTGAACTACAACTCCCAAACTCAAGGTCAATACCCACCCAACCCTTCTAATGTTTACTATTGGTCGTGGGAGTTCTGTATGCCAAGTTTGGTTCAATTCCATCATTGGTGAAGCTCAGAATGCTCTGATTGTAGGCGAACTATACATCCCAGCAACTACAACTCCCAAATTTCAAGGTCTTGTATTGGTTTGAATCTCTTTGGAGAGGTTTGATGTCCCTCTCGTGCCTCTTTGCCCTCAGTTCTGCGGACTCGGAGCTGACCGCTCTCTGCCAGTCGGTCCTGGAAGATTTCAACCTCTGCCTCTTCTACCTGCCTTCCCCCAACCTGAGCTCCGCCAACGAGGAGGAGGAGGAGTGCGAGAGCGGGTACTCCTTCCTGCCGGACCTCCTCATCTTCCGGATGGTCGTCATTTGCCTCATGAGCGTCCACAGCCTCAAGAGAGCAGGTGAGCATCTTCTCCCACAGTGAGGGCATCGGTTTCCAGGTGGAAGGCGGTCCCGGTCGGGGTTGGCTTGATGTGCCTTCCTCTTGGCACGTTTCTCTCTTTCACCCTCCATTCGTGCCTCTTTGAATTCTGCAGCACTGCTGGTCATAGCTGACCTCCACCCGGAGCGCTCAAGGGCCAGGGCTTACCAGTTCTCAGTGTCTATGCCAAACTTTTTAAGGTTGCCTTTGAGCCCATCTTTCAATCTCTTTTCCTGCCCTCCAACATTCCGTTTTCTGTTCTTGAGTTCGGAGTAGAGCAACTGCTTTGGGAGACGGTGGTCGGGCATCCGGACAACGTGGCCGGTCCAGCGGAGTTGATGGCGGAGGTGCATCGCTTCAATGCTGGTGGTCTTTGCTTCTTCCAGCACGCTGGCATTTGTCCGCTTGTCTTCCCAAGAGATTTGCAGGATTTTCCAGAGGCGATGCTGATGGAATCATTCTAGGAGTTGCATGTGACGTCTGTAGACAGTCCATGTTTCGCAGGGTTGGGAGGACAATAGCTTTATAAACAAGCCCCTTGGTCTCCCTACGGATGTCCCAGTCCTCAAACACTCTCTGCTTTATTCGGAAAAATGCTGCACTCGCAGAGCTCAGGTGGTGTTGTATTTCACTGTTAATGTTGACATCTATAGACAGTCTACGTTTCGCAGGCATATAGCAGGGTTGGGAAGAAAATAGCTTTATAGACAAGCACCTTGGTCTTTCTATGGATGTTCCAGTTCTCAAACACTCTCTGCTTCATTCGGAAAAATACTGCATCCTCAAAGCTCAGGCACTGTCAGTGTTGACGTCTATAGACATTCCACGTTTCGCAGGCATATAGCTGAGTTGGGAGGATGATAGCTTTATATACAAGCACCTTGGTCTCCCTACGGATGTTCCGGTCCTCAAACACTCTCTGCTTCATTGGGAAAAAAAGCTGCACTTGCAGAGCTCAGGCGGTGTTTTATTTCACTGACAATGTTGACATCTATAGATAGTCCACGTTTCGCGGGCATATTGCAGGGTTGGGAGGACAATAGCTTTATAAACAAGCCCCTTAGTCTCCCTACGGATGTCCCGGTCCTCAAACACTCTCTGCTTCATTCGGAAGAATGCTGCAGTCGCAGAGCTGAGGCGGTGTTGTGTTTCACTGTCAATGTTGATGTCTGTAGACAGTCCACGTCTCACAGGTGTATAGCAGGGTTGGGAGGACAACGACATTATCAACAAGCACCTTGGTTTTCCTACAGATGTCCCAGTCCTCAAACACTCTCTCCTTTATTCGGGAAAATGCTGCACTCGCAGAGCTCAGTCTCAATGTTGACTTTTGTGGAGAGGTGGCTGCCAAGGGAGCAGCAATGGTCCACATTTTCTAACGTGACACCATTAAGCTGTATCTCTGGCATTGGAGAGGGATTGGCTGGTGTGTGTATGTGTGTGTGTGTATAGGTTTTCTCGATGTTCAATGACAGGCCGAGCTTCTCGTATGCTTCTGCGAAGGTGTTTAGAGTGGCTTGTAGGTCTTCTTCTGAGTGTGCACAGATGATGTTGTCATCAGCATACTGGAGTTCTATAACAGATGTTGTTGTAACCTTGGTTTCGGCTGGATCTTAGCGTTGATCCCATCAGAAACTCTCCAAAGACTTTTTTTTTACTCTGTTTCATGTTCCTTTCCTACTGTTTTGCACCATTTTTCCTTTCTTTGGGTTGCTGTGAGTTTTCCGGGCTGTCTGGCCATGTTCCAGAAGCATTCTCTCCTGACGGCTGCCCTGCATCTCCGGCAGGCGTCCTCAGAGGTTAGGAGGTGGGTTGATATATAAGAAGTCTCCCTTCTCCCACCCTGGACATTATTCCAAAGGTATACAAACCTCATGTGTTTCCTCCACCACAGACACCTCAGTGGTTCTGACTCTCTCCTGGACCTTCCACAGATATATAAACCCCATTTTCCTAGTTTCCAATGGACCTCACAACCTCTGAGGATGGCAGCCATAGATGTGGGAGAAACGTCAGGAGAGAATGCTACTGGAAGATGGCCAGACAGCCCGGAAAACTCACAGCAACCCAGTGTTTCTGGCCGTGAAAGCCTTCGACGACACATTTCCTTTCTTTCTTCATAGGCTCCAAGCAGTATAGCGCAGCCATTGCATTCACGCTGGCCCTCTTTTCGCACCTCATCAACCACGTCAACATCCGCTTGCAGGCCGAGTTGGAAGAAGGCGAGAGCCCTGTCCCAGCTTTCCGGAACGACGGCACAGGTAAACACTGTGTTATTTATTTACGACATTTCTATGCCACCCTTCTCACCCTGAAGGGGACTCAGAGCAGCTTACAATATATATATACATCCAATATATTATATTATTAGCATAGCACAATATCACTATTATATATTACTATATTGTACTATGCCATTATATTGTAATACTAGCCGTCCCCTGCCATGGGTTGCTGTGGCCCAGTCTGTGTATATGTGATTTGTGTGTATATATATATGTGTTTGTGTATATATATATATATGTGGTTTTGCGTATGAGTTGAAATGTATTTTTTAATTTTCTGGCTTACCTCCTTCTCTCCCTCCTTCTCTCCTTCCTTCCTTCTTTACCTTTCTTTCCTTCTCTCCTTCCCTCCTTCCTTCCTTCTCTATCCTTCTTTCTTTCCTTCTTTATCTCCTCCCCTCCTTCTTTCCCTCCATCTCTCCTTCCTTCCTTCCTTCTCTCCTTCCTTCCTTCCTTCCTTCCTTCTGTCTCCCCCTTTCTCTCCCTCCTTCCCTCCTTCCTTCCTTCCTTCCTTCCTTCCTTCTCTACGCTTCTTTCTTTCCTTCTTTATCTCATTCCCTCCTTCTTCCTTCCTTCCTTCTCTACCCTTTTTTCTTTCCTTCCTTCTCTCTTTTCCTCTTTCTCTCCCTCCTCCTCTCCCTCCTTTACCCTTCTTTTTTCCTTCTTTCTCTCCTTCCCTCCTTCTTTCCCTTCTTCTCTCCCTCTTTCTCTCCTTCCTTTCTTCTCTACCCTTTTTCTTTCCTTCTCTCTTTTCCTCTTTATCTCCTTCCTTCTCTCCTTCCCTCCTTCTTTTCCTCCTTCTCTCCTCCTTCCCTCCTCTCTTTCCTTCCTTCCTTCCTTCCCTCCTTCTCTCCTTCCTTCCTTCTTTACCTTTCTTTCTTTCCTTCTCTCCTTCCTTCTTTACCTTTCTTTCTTTCCTTCTCTCCTTCCTTCCCTCCTTCTCTCCCTCCTTCCTTCTCTACTCTTCTTTCTTTCCTTCCTTCTCTCCTTCCCTCCTTCTTTCCTTCCCTCCTTCTCTCCTTCCTTCTTTTTTCCTTCCTTCTCTCCTTCCCTCCTCCTTTCCCTTCTTCACTCCCTCCTTCTCTCCTTCCTTCTCTACCCTTCTTTTTGTTTTTCCCTCCTTCCCTCGTTTCCCTTCTTCCTCCTTCTCTCCTTCCTTCCTCCTCTACCCTTCTTTCTTTCCTTCCTTCTCTCCTTCCCTCCCTCCTTCTCTCCTTCCTTCTCTACCCTTCTTTTCCTTCCTTCTCTCCTTCACCCCTTCTTTCCCTTCTCTCCTTCTTTCTCTCCCTTCCTTCTCTACCTTTCTTTCCTTCCTTCCTTCTCTCCTTCCTTCCTTCCTTCCTTCCTTCCTTCCTTCCTTCCTTCCTTCCTTCTTTCCCCTTCTTTCTTCCTTCCTTGCTTCTCTCCTTCCTTCCTTCTCTACCCTTCTTTTTTCCTTCCTTCCCTCTTTTACTCCTTTCCCTTATCTCCCTCTTTCCCTCCTTCATTCTCTTTCTTCCTTTCTTTCCTTCTTTCGCTCCTTCCCTCCTTCTTTCCCTCCTTCTCTCCTTCCTTCCTTTCCCTCCCCTCCCCTCCTTCTTTCCCTTCTTCTCTCCATCCTTCTTCCTTCCTTCTCTACCCTTCCTTCTCTCCTTCCTTCCTTCCTTCCTTCCTTCCTTCCTTCCTTCCTTCCTTCCTTTCTTCCTTCTTTACCCTTCTTTCTTTCCTTCCTTCTCTCTTTCCCTCCTTCTCTCCTTCCTTTCTGTGTATGTGTTTTGTGTGTGTATATGCATATATGTGCGTATATGTGTGAGTTTGTGTATATATGTGGTTTTGCGTGTGCATTGGAATGTATTTTTTGGGTTTTTTTTTACTTTTCCGCTGTGTTTTTCAGTGTTTTTATGAGTGATGGTCACTCTTTGGGTTAGTAGGTGTGTTGTGTCCAAATTTGGTGTCAATTCCCCCAGTGGTTTCAGAGTTCTGTTAATCCCACAAACGAACATTACATTTTTATTTATATAGATGTGTGCATGTGTATATGTATATATGTGTGTATGTATATTTGTGTCTGTGCATATATATATATGTGTGTATGAATGTGTGCACATGCATATGAGTGTGTGTGTGTATGTGTGTGGATATATATAGAGAGAGTGTGTGTGTATTTTGGGGGTTTTAAAGTGTGTTCCGCTGGGATTTTCTGTGTGTGTGTGTGTGTGTGTTTATGGGTGTTGGACACTCATTGAACTGTTAGGTATTTTGTGTCCAAATTTCATGTCAATTCGCCCAGTGGTTTTTGAGTTATGTTAATTCCACAAACAAACATTACATTATTATTATTATTATTATTAGTAGTAGTAGTAGTAGTAGTAGTAGTAGTAGTAAAGCACAGGAGACAAGATGGAACAGTCTTCCTGGCCCCCTCTCTCTTCATTCAGTCCACAAAAATCAAACCCGCAAATATTGATATCTGAAAATATTCAAGATTTGAAAAATAAAATCCAGAAAGGACAGACTATATATGTGGAATTAGAGTAGTTTCCGCTTTCGCGTAGGTATCAGAAGTCTTTGCCAGAGGTGTTAATCCAGGCTTAAGCTGCTGAGTGCTATTGATCTAATTTGAGCGGATTAGAACCACCGCATTTAAGACGACTTGAAACAGCGGTCACTTTCTTTTGGATTAAGCCTTTTGGCCGACGACTTTTTGGCCGCCTTTGTCGCGCACTGGATTTAATGGATCAAAAGTTTCGGGCTTTGCTGGGATGTAGAAACCGTAGGGCCTCCTGCCTATATGTTGTTCCTGTATTAATTTTGGATATGAATTTCCCCTCGTATGTTTGCAGGTCTTTGCAAATCCTATATACATATAGATATCTGGCGATTTCCATGTATCTGTCTATCTGTCTATATGTATACATTATTTTTATATATGAATTTTCCTATAGATATTGATGAATATATAGAGGTACCTATATAATTGCAATCTCTCTGTGTGTATGCATATGTGCATATGGAAATATTACAGGGGAAATGCACACATAGAGACATATATATAGAGAGAGTTGTCTAGATAGATATAAAAATATATAGGGCTTGCAAATGTTGCAGGGGAAATGCACACACACACACACACACACAGATGTCTAGATATGAACATAGATATATAGGGCTTGCAAATATTGCAGGGGAAATGCACACACACACACACACACACACATAGAGAGAGATGTCTAGATAGATATAAATATAGATATATAGGGCTTGCAAATATTGCAGGGGAAATGTGAACAGAGATGTCTAGATATGATATATAGGGCTGCAAATATTGCCGGGAAAATGCACACACACACACACAAAGATGCCTAGATATGAACATAGATATATAGGGCTTGAAAATATTGCAGGGGAAATGCACACACACATAGAGAGAGATATGTCTAGATAGATATAAACATAGATATATAGGGCTTGCAGATATTGCAAGGAAAATGTGCGCGCACACACAAAGAGATGTCTAGATATGAACATAGATATATAGGGCTTGCAAATATTGCAGGGTAAATGCGCACACACGCATAGTGAGAGATGTCTTGATATGATATATAGGGCTGCAAATATTGCTGGAGAAATGTACACACACACACATAGAGAAATGTCTAGGTATGAACATAGATATATAGGGCTTGCAAAAGGGGAAAATGCGTGCACACAGACACATAGAGATGTCTGGATATGAACATAGATATATAGGGCTTGCAAATATTGCAGGGGAAATGCACACACCCACACATAGAGAGAGAGATGTCTAGATAGATATAAACATAGATATATAGGGCTTGCAAATGTTGCAGGGGAAATGCACACACACTCACATATAGAGGGAGAGATGTCTAAATAGATATATAGGGCTTGCAAATATTGCAGGGGAAATGCGCGCACACACATAGAGATGTCTAGATATGAACATAGATATATAGGGCTTGCAAATATTGCAGGGGAAATGCATGCACACACACATAGAGAGAGAAATGTCTAGTTATGAACATAGATATATAGGGCTTGCAAATATTGCAGGGGAAATGCACACGCACACACATAGAAAGAGATGTGTAGATATGAACATAGATATATAGGGCTTGCAAATGTTGCAGGGGAATTGCACACACACACAGATATCTAGATATTAACATAGATATATAGGGCTTGCAAGTATTGTGGGGGAAATGCACACACACACATATAGAGAGAGATGTCTAGATATGAACATAGATATATAGGCCTTCAAATATTGGAGGAGAAATGCACACACACACACATAGAGATAGATGTCTAGATATGAACATAGATATATAGGGCTTGCAAATATTGCAGGGGAAATGCACACACACACACAGAGAGATGTCTAGATATGAACATAGATATATAAGGCTTGCAAATATTGCAGGGGAAATGCACACACACACACACAGATATGAACATAGATATATAGGGCTTGCAAATATTGCAGGGGAAAGGCGCGCGCACACACACAGGTGTCTAGATATGAACATAGATATATAGGGCTTGCAAATATTGCAGGGGAAATGCACACACATAGAGAGCAATGTCTAGATATGAACATAGATATATAGGGCTTGCAAATATTGCAGGGGAAATGTACACACACATATAGAGAGCAATGTCTAGATATGAACATAGATATATAGGGCTTGCAAATATTGCAGGGGAAATGCACACACACACACAGAGATGTCTAGATATGAACATAGATATATAGGGCTTGCAAAATTATAGATCTATATCTAGCTCTGCATTGTTTATATAGGCATTGAATATTTGGGTTGACATACTAAATGTAGAAGTGTAACTACGATATTTCGTTATGAGCCGGTGGTAGTTTTTACCTTTTCTTGAACCTAACCAGAGCACCGTCCCGTGTATTTTCTCTCTTGGTTCGTATGGTAAGCTCATATACGTCACTCGCTGTGCTACCTTTTGGTATAGATACATAATATTCCGTATTTGGGCTTTTTTCCCACAGAGGATCCAGAAGCCCGGGAATCGCTGAACTCCATGGAAAAGGAACCCGAGGCCGACTTGGCCAACCACCGGCCCAGCGAAGAGGAGAGGAAAGGCGAGAGCAAAAAGGGAAAGAAGTACTCGCGCCTCTCTTGCCTGCGGCGCCGGCGTCATGCCCAGAAGGTCGACGAGAGCGACCTCAGCGAGGGCTTCGACTCCGACTCCAGCCCCGATTCCACCAAAGGGAGCGAAGGGTCGGAAACCGGGTCGGAGAAGAGCGACGAGGAGGCCGAGACAGCGTTCGACGTGGAGACCGACTCGGACATGAACAGCCAAGAGTCCCGCTCGGACTTGGAGGACATGGAGGACGACGCTGACGGAGAAGGCCAAGTCCGGAGCGTGAAAAACGAAACCAAGGAGGTCCTGGAAAGCGAAGGCGGGGGGCCGCCGGCTGTGGACTCGAAAAGCCCCGCTGTGGCCAAGACCGAGGCCCCGGAACCCGTGACCAACGGGCCAAACTCTTTGGGGCCCAGCGAGGCCAGCATCGCCAGCAACCTCCAGGCCATGTCCACCCAGCTCTTCCAGACCAAGCGCTGCTTCCGCCTGGCCCCCACTTTCAGCAACGTCCTCCTCAAACCCAACTGTGAATTGCCGGCCTTGAAAGAGGCCACCAGCATCAAACCGTGCGTCAACGGAGATGTGGAGAAGCCCAGCGTGGTCGAGCCAGGTGAGGAGGTGTTGGGGTTGGAAAAGAGGACTCTAATTGGGCCAAAGGGTCCCTTGGTGGTGCCTGCTAACACCCTGAGGCCCTTCTCCCACAGAGACCTCTCACAAAAAGTCCTTTTTCCCACTGAGACCTTCTCACACAGAGAGCTCTCTCAGACTGCCTTTCTCCCACTGAGACCTTCTCCTACTGAGGCCTACTAACACACTGAGGCTCTTCTCCCACAGAGACCTCTCACAAACAGTCCTTTTTCCCACTGAGGCCTTCTCACACTGAGGGCTCTCTCAGACTGAGGCCTTTCTCACACTGAGACCTCCGACTGAGGCCTGCTAACACACTGAGGCCCTTCTCCCACAGAGACCTCTCACAAACTGAGGCCTTTTTCCCACTGAGGCCTTCTCACACTGAGGGCTCTCTCAGAGTGAGGCTACTAAGCCACAGACACACCTGTAGCTTTATTGAACAACAGCTTTTGGTGAGTTATTGTATTGAAAATTTTTAATTACAGAAATGTGAGTCAAGTGCTGAAAGGGTGAAATGGACACCTAGAATAAGGTCCGCGGCTCTAGATTTTTAAATATGGTTTTCTGTGGGTGAGCAGATGGCAACTACTGGATGGCATATGTTCTGTATCAGAAACTAGAGCTGATGTGGTCTGTCCAATGCACTTTTCTGAAACAGCATCCTAAACCGAATCTAAAGTTGACCAAAGTGGTCCCCGGTCAAAGTGGTCCCCGGTCAAAGTGGTCCCTGGTCAAATGGTCCATGGTCAAAATGGTCCATGGTCAAATGGTCTATGGTCAAGTGGTCCCTGGTCAAGTGGTTCCTGGTCAAAAGTGGTCCATGGTCAAGTGGTTCCTGGTCAAATGGTCCCTGGTCAAATGGTCCATGGTCAAAGTGGTCCATGGTCAAATGGTCCCTGGTCAAAGTGGTCCATGGTCAAATGGTCCATGGTCAAAGTGGTCCATGGCCAAATGGTCCACCATCAAAGGGTCCCTGGTCAAATGGGCCCTGGTCAAAGAGGTCCATGGTCAGGTGGTCCCTGGTCACAAGTGATCCATGGTTAAAGTGTCCCTGGTCAAATGGTCCCTGGTCAAATTGGTCCATGGTCAAATTGGTCCATGGTCAAAATGGTCCCTGGTCAAATGGTCCATGATCAGTGTCCCTGGTCAATGGTCCTTGGTCAAATGGTCCATGGTCAAATGGTCCCTGGTCAAAGTGGTCCATGGTCAGATGGTCCCTGGGCAAATTGGTCCATGATCAAAGTGTCCCTGGTCAAATGGTCCCTGGTCAAATGGTCCATGGTCAAAGTGGTCCATGGTCAAATGGTCCATGATCAAAGTGTCCCTGGTCAAATGGTCCATGGTCAAAGTGCTCCATGGTCAAATGGTCCATGGTCAAAGTGTCCCTGGTCAAATGGTCCATGGTCAATTGGTCCATGGTCAAAGTGTCCCTGGTCAAATGGTCCATGGTTAAAGTGCTCCATGGTCAAATGGTCCATGGTCAAAGTGTCCCTGGTCAAATGGTCCATGGTCAATTGGTCCATGGTCAAAGTGTCCCTGATCAAAGTGTCCCTGGTCAAATGGTCCATGGTCAAAGTGCTCCATGGTCAAATGGTCCATGGTCAAAGTGTCCCTGGTCAAATGGTCCATGGTCAAATGGTCCATGGTCAAAGTGCCCCTGGTCAAATGGTCCATGGTCAAAGTGTCCCTGGTCAAATGGTCCATGGTCAAGGTGTCCCTGGTCAAATGGTTCATGGTCAATGTGGTCCATGGTCACAAGTGGTCCCTGGTCAATGTGGTTCATTGTCAAAAGTGGTCCCTGGTCAAAATGGTCCATGGTCAAAGTGTCCCTGGTCAAAGTGGTCCATGGTCAAATTGGTCCATGGTCAAAGTGTCTCTGGTCAAGTGGTTCATGGTCAATGTGGTCCATGGTCACAAATGTTCCCTGGTCAAATTGGTCCATGGTCAAAGTGTCCCTGGTCAAAATGGTCCATGGTCACAAGTGGTCCGTGGTCAAATTGGTGCATGGTCAACGTGTCCCTGGTCAAGTGGTTCATGGTCAATGTGGTCCATGGTCAAATGGTCCATGGTCAAAGTGTCCCTGGTCAAATTGTCCATGGTCAAAGTGCTCCATGGTCAAATGGTCCATGGTCAAAGTGTCCCTGGTCAAGTGGTTCATGGTCAATGTGGTCCATGATCAAAGTGATCCATGGTCAAGTGGTCCCTGGTCAAAGGTGTTCATGGTCAATGTGGTCCATGGTCAAAGTGTCCCTGGTCAAAGTGTCCCTGGTCAAATGGTCCATGGTCAAAGTGCCCCTGGTCAAATGGTCCATGGTCAAAGTGTCCCTGGTCAAATGGTCCATGGTCAAAGTGGTCCCTGGTCAAATGGTCCCTGGTCAAGTGGTCCCTGCTCAAAATGGTCCCTGATCAAAGTGGTTCATGGTCAATGTGGTCCATGGTCAAATGATCCCTGGTCAAAGTGGTCCCTGGTCAAATGGTCCATGGTTAAAGTGGTCAGTGGTCAAATGGTCCATGGTCAAATGGTCCATGGTCAAAGTTGTTCCTGGTCAAATGGTCCCTGGTCAAGTGGTCCCTGCTCAAAGTGGTCCATGATCAAAGTGGTCCCTGGTCAAATGGTCCATGGTCAAAGTAATTCCTGGTCAAATGGTCCCTGGTCAAAGTGTCCCTGAATGGGAGCCACTTCAGAAGACCAACGTTATCTCTCATAGAAGGCTTTTCTTTGTAGTAAAGTAATATAGTCGCACTATTTACAATCACTCGGTTTCCATAACATAAGTAAACAAATAGCTTTACACGCAGTGGCCTTCACAGTGGAGCTTCTCTCACACAGAGGTCCACCTCACACTCCTAGCTTTGGCCCACTCACTCTTTCGGTGCTTGACTCACACTTCTGTAATCAAAAACACCCAGTTGATTTTTAATATTTCTGACACTCCATGTCTCTTGATCTTAAATGTGTGTGTTTTTTTTTCTGGAAGACGACGTTTCCGAGTCGGAAGAGAGCATCTCCAGCGGGAAATCCTGCCGGAACGAGCGATCCCTCCAGGAGAAGCTGGAGATCATCACCAACGAGGGGCTGCTCCCAACGGTCAAGGTGTTTCTGGACTGGCTGAGGACCAACACCGACCTCATCATCATGTGTGCCCAGGTACGTCTGTTATTGGAGGTACGAGGGTTGAATGAAAAGTAATGCCTCCACCTTGGTAACTCCTCAAGAGATGGCAGTACGGGTATGCAGCAGGTACTGGCTTGTTCAGTAGACTTTCCTCTACAGTTCTGTGTTGGCAGGAAGCCTTAGCATTGAATGGTTGTGTTGTTAAAGTAGACTTCACACTTTAACAACACCACCGTTCAATGCTAAGGCTTCCCGCCAACATGGAACTGTAGAGGAGAGTCTACTGAACAAGCCAGTACCTGCTGCATATGTTGCTTAAGTCGCATTGACCAAATATCTGCGCAGGGTCCCATACTTTGCACCTTAACAACACAACTGTTCAATGCTAAGGCTTCCTGCCAAACTGGAACTGTAGAGGAGAGTCTACTGAACAAGCCAGTACCTGCTGCATACATTGCTTAAGTCGCATTGACAAACCGTCTGTGCAGGGTTCCATACTTTGCACTTTAACAACACAACCGTTCAATGCTTAGACTTCTTGCCAAAATGGAGCTGTAGAGGAGAGTCTACTGAACAAGCCAGTACCTGCTGCATACGTTGCTTAAGTTGCATTGACCGACCGTCTGCGCAGGGTTCTATACTTTGCACTTTAACAACACAACCGTTCAATGCTAAGGCTTCCCGCCAAGATGGAACTGTAGAGGAGAGTCTACTGAACAAGCCAGTACATGCCGCATATGTTGCCTAAGTCTGCACAGGGTTCCATACTTTGCACTTTAACAACACAACCATTGAATGCTAAGGCTTCCTGACAAAATGGAACTGTAGAGGAGAGTCTACTGAACAAGCCAGTACCTGCGGCATACGTTGCTTAAGTCGCATTGCCAAACCGTCTGCGCATGGTTCCATATTTTGCACTTTAACAACACAACAATTCAATGCTAAGGCTTCCTGTCAAAATGGAACTGTAGAGGAGAGTCTACTGAACAAGCCAGTACTTGTTGCATATCACTACTGCCTTCTGTTGAGGAGTTACCAATGTGGAGGCATTACTTTTCACTTTAACAACATAACCGTTCAATGCTAAGGCTTCCCGCCAAAGTGGAACTGTAGAGGAGAGTCAACTGAACAAGCCAGTACCTGCTATATATGTTGCTTAAGTTGCATTGACCAAAGATCTGCGCAGGGTTCCATACTTTGCACTTTAACAACACAACCGTTCAATGCTAAGGCTTCCCGCCAAGATGGAACTGTAGAGGAGAGTCTACTGAACAAGCCAGTACCTGCCGCATATGTTGCTTAAGTTGCATTGACCAAATATCTGTGCAGGGTTCCATACTTCATGCTATAACAACACAACCATTCAATGCTAAGGCTTCCTGCAAAGATGGAACTGTAGAGGAGAGTCTACTGAACAAGCCAGTACCTTCTGCATACCAGTACTGCCATCTGTTGAGGAGTTACGAAGGGGGAGGCATTACTTTTCATTCAACCTTCATAGTTTAGGTTGGGAGATCAACTTCCCATGAACATCAGTGACTGACGTTCTAGAGCGTATCGTTCTAGAGTGGGAAGGATTGGAAATCCCTTTCTCAATGTTGATTCTCTTTTTGGGACGTCTCCTCCTCTTTTCAGAGTTCTCAGAGTTTGTGGAACCGCCTCTCTGTCCTTCTGAACCTGCTCCCTTCGGCTGCGGAGCTGCAAGATTCAGGTAGAGTGACCCAAAGAGTGTCCGCCATGTTCCGGAAGCATTCTCTCCTGACGTTTCTCCCACATTTATGTCAGGCATCCTCAGAGGTTGTGAGGTCTGTTGGAAGCTAGGAAAATGGGGTTTATATATCTGTGGAAGGTCCAGGAGAGTGTCAGAACCACTGAGGTGTCTGTGGTGGAGGAAACACATACAATCTAGGATGGAATTGTCCCCAAATGAAAGCCTTCGCGTGGGTGATGGGCAGTGTGGTGTTGGTGGAAGACATTGGTAGGGCTCTTGGACATGTTCCACACCGGTGGAGACAGAACCACTGAGGTGTCTGTGGTGGAGGAAACACATACAATCTAGGATGAAATAGTCCCTGTATGAAAGCCGTCCCTTGGGTGGTGGGCAGTGTGGTGTTTGTGGAGGACATTGGCAGGGCTCTTGGACATGTTCCATACCAGTGGAGACAGTCCGAACCACTGAGGTGTCTGTGGTGGAGGGAACACATACAGTCTAGGATGGAACTGATCCTGAATGAAAGCCTTCCCTTGGATGTTGGGCAGTGTGGTGTTGGTGGAGGACATTGGCAGGGCTCTTGGACATGTTTACACTGGGATGCCTTTGGTGGAGGAAACACTTACTATTAGGTGGAAATGGTCCCTGTATGAAAACCTTCCCTTGGGTGGTGGGCAGTGTGGCATTGGTGGAGGACATCGGCAGGGCTCTTGGACATGTTTTCACTGGGATGTCTGTGGTGGAGGAAACACATATAATCTAGGATGAAATGGTCCCTGTATGGAAGCCTCCCCTTGGATGGTGGGCAGTGTGGCATTGGTGGAGGACATTGGCAGGGCTCTTAGGACATGTTTACACTGTTATGTCTGTGGTGGAGGAAACATGTGTAATCTAGGATGGAATTGACCCTGAAAGAAAACCTTCCCTTCGGTGGTGGGCAGTGTGGCGTTGGTGGAGGACATTGGCAGGGCTCTTGGACATGTTTACACTGGGATGCCTGTGGTGGAGGAAACACATACAATTAGGGTGAAATGGTCTGTGTAACGCGGGTGATGAGCAGTGTAGTGTTGGTGGAGGACATTGGCAGGGCTCTTAGACATTTTCCATACCAGTGGAGACAGTCAGAACCACTGAGGTGTCTGTGGTGGAGGAAACACATAAAATCTAGGATGGAATTGTCCCCAAATGAAAGTTTTCACATGGGTGGTGGGCAGTGTGGTATTTGTGGATGATATTGGCAGGACTCTTGGATATGTTCCATACCAGTGGAGGCAGTCAGAACCACTGAGGTGTCCGTGGTGGAGGAAACAGATACAATCTAGGATGGAATTGTCCCCAAATGAAAACCTTCACATGGGTGGTGCGCAGTGTGGTGTTGGTGGAGGACATTGGCAGGGCTCTTGGACATGTTTACAATGTGATGTCTATAGTGGAGGAAACACATGCAATCTAGGATGGAATTGTCCCTGTATGAAAGCCTTCCCTTGGGTGGTGGGAGGGCTCTTGGACATGTTTGCACTGTGATGCTTGTGGTAGAGGAAACACATACAATTAGGATGAAATGGTCTTTGTAACGCAGGTGATGGGCAGTGTAGTGTTGGTGGAGGACATTGGCAGGGCTCTTGGACATGTTTACACTGGGATGTCTGTGGTGGAGGAAACACATACAATTAGGATGAAATGGTCCCTGTACGAAAGCCTTCCCTTGGGTGTTGGGAGGGCTCTTGGACATGTTTACACTGTGATATCTGTGGTGGAGGAAACACATATAATCTAGGATGGAATTGACCCTGAATGAAAGCCTTCCCTTGGGTGGTGGGCAGTGTGGTGTTTATGGAGGACATTGGCAGGGCTCTTGGACATGTTTACAGTGAGGTGTCTGTGGTGGAGGAAACACATATAATCTAGGATGGAATTGTCCCTGAATGAAAGCCTTCCCTTGGGTGGTGGGCAGTATGGTGTTGGTGGAGGATATTGTTTACAGTGGGAAGCCTGTGGTGGAGGAAACACATATAGTTTAGGATGAGAGAGGTGAAAGCCAACCCTAGAGAACCATTCCCAGCAGATGTCCAACCTCTCTCCTGTTTTTGCAGGTCTTTTCCTTGGCAACGAAGTCAAGAGCATGCTTCCTGGGTGCGAAGTCCCGGAGCTGAGTGCCTGCCTGCTTCTCCCGGAGGACGTGGCCCTCCGCAACCTTCCTCCGCTCAGGAACGCCCACAAGCGCTTCAACTTTGAGCAGGACCGGCCTTGCCTCACGGACATCGAGGAGGTGAGTGGCACACCTTGACACGCCAAAAACCACGTTTGTTTCCTTCGGAATGGCACCAAATTGTGGACATCGGCCTGTAAGGTTGCCCCAAAGATGGGCAACTTGCTTTGAGATGTTTTGGCCCTTGGTGGCAACTCGAAGGGCCAACCGTTCTGTACGGTCTTCTCTCTTCCTTCCTTGCAGTCGGTGGTCCGGCTGTGCTGCATCCGAAGCTTTGGCCACTTCATCACGCGCCTGCAAGGCAGCATCCTGCAGTTCAACTCCGAGGTCGGGATCTTCATCAGCATCGCGCAGTCGGAGCAAGACGGCATGATCCAGCAGGCCCAAGCCCAGTTCCGCATGGTGAGCGCATGGTGAATGCGTTGGGCTCCTTTCCTTGTGATTGAGTGGTAAATAGAATAATAAATGGAATAATCACAATAATAAAGAGAGGAAAATAATAAATGTAACAATAAACATGAAAAATAAATGTAATAATATCAATAATAAATATAGAAAAACAATAAATGTAATAATAAGAATAATAGAGAAAAATAATAAATATAATAACAATAAATAGAGAAAAATAATAAATGCAATAATGAGTATAATAGAGAAAAATAATAAATATAATATAATAAATGTAATAATAAATAGAGAAAAATAATAAATGTAATAACAGAGAAAAATAATAAATGTAATAACAATAAATAGAGAAAAATAATAAATGCAATAATGAGTATAATAGAGAAAAATAATAAATATAATAATAGAGAAAAATAATAAATGTAATAATGAATATAATAGAGAAAAATTATAAATATAATAAATAGAGAAAAATAATAAATGTAATAATGAATATAATAGAGAAAAATAATAAATATAATAACAGAGAAAAATAATAAATGTAATAACAATAAATAGAGAAAAATAATAAATGCAATAATGAGTATAATAGAGAAAAATAATAAATATAATAACAGAGAAAAATAATAAATGTAATAACAATAAATAGAGAAAAATAATAAATGCAATAATGAGTATAATAGAGAAAAATAATAAATATAATAATAGAGAAAAATAATAAATGTAATAATAAATAGAGAAAAATAATAAATGCAATAATGAGTATAATAGAGAAAAATAATAAATATAATAATAGAGAAAAATAATAAATGTAATAACAATAAATAGAGAAAAATAATAAATGTAATAATGAATATAATAGAGAAAAATAATAAATATAATAACAGAGAAAAATAATAAATGTAATAACAATAAATAGAGAAAAATAATAAATGCAATAATGAGTATAATAGAGAAAAATAATAAATATAATAATAGAGAAAAATAATAAATGTAATAACAATAAATAGAGAAAAATAATAAATGTAATAATGAATATAATAGAGAAAAATAATAAATATAATAACAGAGAAAAATAATAAATGTAATAACAATAAATAGAGAAAAATAATAAATGCAATAATGAGTATAATAGAGAAAAATAATAAATATAATAATAGAGAATAATAAATAGAGAAAAATAATAAATGTAATAATAATAAATATAATAACAGAGAAAAATAATAAATGTAGTAATAATAGAGAAAAATAATAAATGTAATATAATAAATGTAATAATAAATAGAGAAAAATAATAAATGTAATAATGACAATAGTAGTACAGAGAAATAATAAATGTAATAATGAATATAATAGAGAAAAATAATAAATATAATAGAGAAAAATAATAAATGTAATAATAGAGAAAAATTATAAATGTAATAATAACAATAATAAAGAAAAAATAATAAATGTAATAACAATAAATAGAGAAAAATAATAAATGTAATAATGAGTATAATAGAGAAAAATAATAAATATAATAACAGAGAAAAATAATAAATGCAATAACAATAAATATAAAAAAATGTAATAATGAGTATAACAGAGAAAAATAATAAATGTAATAATAATAATAAATATAGAAAATAATAAATGTAATAATCAATATAAAAAATAATAAATGTAATATTGAGTATAATAGAGAAAAATAATAAATGTAATAATAGCAATAGTAGTACAGAAAAATAATAAATGTAATAATAAATAGAGAAAAATAATAAATGTAATAATAGAGAAAAATAATAAATGTAATAATAGCAATACTAATACAGAAAAAATAAATGTAGTAATAACAAATAGAGAAAAATACTAAATGTAATAATAGCGATAGTAAAAAAGAAAAATAATAAATGTAATAATAATAATAAATAGAGAATAATAAATGTAATAATACTGATAGTAATAAATAAAAGTAATAAATGTCATAGCAATAGTAACAAAGAAAATAATAAAAATAATAATAATAACAGAAAAATAATAAATGTCATAGCGATAGTAATAAAGAAAAATAATAAATGTAATAACAATAGATATAAAAATAATAACTGTAATAATAATAAATAGAGAAACATAATAAATGTAATAATAGCAATAGTAATAAAGGAAAATAATAAATGTACTAATAATAATTAGAGAAAATAAATGTAATAATAAATATAAAAATGTAATAATAATAATACATAGAGAAAATAATAAATGTAATAATAGATATAAAAATAATAAATGTAATAATAGTGATAGTAATCAAGAAAAATAATAAATGTAGTCATAATAAATAGAGAAAAAATAATAAATGTAATAATAGCAGTAGTAATGCAGAAAAATAATAAATGCAATAATAAATAGAGAAAAATACTAAATGTAATAATAGCAATAGTAATGCAGAAAAATAATAAATGCAATAATAAATAGAGAAAAATACTAAATGTAATAATAGCAATAGTAGTACAGAAAAATAATAAATGTAATAATATTAATAAATAGAGAATAATAAATGTAATAATAGCGATAATAATAAAGAAAAATAATAAATTAATAATAATAAATATAAAAAATAATAAATGTAATAATAATAATAAATATGGAAAATAATAAATGTAGTCATAGAGATAAAATAATACATGTAATAATAGCAATAGTAATGCAGAAAAATAATAAATTAAAAATAATAATAGAGTAAAATAAGAAATGTAATAGTAACAATTATAGAAAAGTAATAAATGTAATAATAGCGATAATAATAAAGAAAAATAATAAATGTAATAATAATAAATATAGAAAAATACTAAATTTAATAATAGCGATAGTAATAGAGAAAAATAATAAATGCAATAACAATAAATATAAAAATGTAATAATGAGTATAATAAATAGAGAAAAATAATAAATGTAATAATAGTGATCTGTTTCCTTTGCTCTTAGGCTGCCGAAGAGGCCCGCCGGAACCGGCTCATGAGGGACATGGCCCAGCTTCGGCTGCAGGTATGCCCGTGATAGTGGGTTGTTTTGGGGGGGGGGGGGGAAGACTGGGGGACAAAGAGACCTGGGTGATGATTGGAGCTTTTATGTAAACAGAGAATGCCTTTAGGCAAACAGTCTACCCCTACTTGCCAGGAGACTTTCTTTGCTTTGGGTGGTATTAACTGGCACTTAATTGTTTGCTGTCTGGAGTTCCCCTGTTTACACTATCTACCAAGGCTTTAATTCTGCTTCTTTTTGGGCCTGGGTGATGGTTGGAGTTGTTATGTAAACAGAGGATACCTCCAGGCAACAGAGGATAGGCTACCTCTATGCAGATACCCCCGCTTACCTGGAGGCTTCCTTTTCTTGGGAGGTGTTAACTGGCACTTGATTGTTTGCTGTCTGGAGTGATGGTTGGACTTTTTATGTAAACAGAGGATAGCTCCAGGCAACAGAGGACAGGCTACCTCTGTACAGATACTCCTGCTTGTCTTGCGGCATCCTTTATTTGGGTAGTGTTAACTGGCACTTGATTGTTTGCTGTCTGGAGTTCTCCTTTTGCACGGCCTACCAAGGCTTTAATTCTGCTTCTTTTTGGACCTGGTTGATGGTTGGAGTTTTTATGTAAACAGAGGATACCTCCAGGCAACAGAGGACAGGCTACCTCTGCGCTGATATCCCCACTTGCCTGGAGGCATCCTTTGTTTGGGAGGTGTTAACTGACACTTGATTGTTTGCTGTCTGGAGAGATGGTTGGAGTTGTTATGTAAACAGAGGATACCTCCAGGCAACAGAGGACAGGCTACCTCTATGGAAATACCCCTTCTTGCCTTGCGGCATTCTTTATTTGGGTAGTGTTAACTGGCACTTGATTGTTCGCTATGTGGAGTTCCCCTGTTTACACTATCTAAAAGGAATTTAATTCTGCTTCGTTTTGGACCTGGGTGATGGTTGGACTTTTTATGTAAACAGAGGATACCTCCAGTCAATAGAGGACAGGCTACCTCTATGCAGATATACCTGCTTGCCTTGAGGCATCCTTTATTTGGGTAGTGTTAACTGGCACTTGATTGTTTGCTGTCTGGAGTGATGGTTGGACTTTTTATGTAAAAAGAAGATACCTCCAGGCAACAGAGGACAGGCTACCTCTGTACAGATACTCCTGCTTGTCTTGCGGCATCCTTTATTTGGGTAGTGTTAACTGGCACTTGATTGTTTGCTGTCTGGAGTTCTCCTTTTGCACGGCCTACCAAGGCTTTAATTCTGCTTCTTTTTGGACCTGGTTGATGGTTGGAGTTTTTATGTAAACAGAGGATACCTCCAGGCAACAGAGGACAGGCTACCTCTGCGCTGATACTCCCGCTTGCCTGAAGGCATTCTTTATTTGGGTAGTGTTAACTGGCACTTGATTGTTCGCTGTCTGGAGTTCCCCTGTTTACACTATCTACCAAGAATTTAATTCTGCTTCTTTTTGGACCTGAGTGATGGAGTTTTTATGTAAACAGAGGATATCTCCAGGCAACAGAGGACAGGCTACCTCTATGCAGATACCCCTGCTTGCCAGGAGGCATCCTTTGCTTTGGTGGTGTTAACTGGCACTTGATTGTTTGCTGTCTGGAGTTCTCCTGTTCTCTTATTTACTCTCCTGATTATAGTATATGATAGATTCCTGCAATAGTTAGTGGATCTCTCTCTTATCCTTTCCTGAACGTAGCATTTTTAGCCTGCCACTTTTGGACTCTTGCTTGCTGATGTGTTCCTGATGTGTATCTTCTTGGTGGGTCTGCAGATTGTAGGTTGTGTCTCTTCCTCAGCCTCCCTCTGCAGTCCTCATTCTTTCTCCCTTTTTCGAAACAGTTGGAGGTGTCGCAGTTGGAAGGCAGCCTCCAGCAGCCCAAGGCCCAGTGCGTCATGTCTCCTTACCTGGTTCCGGACACCCAGGCCCTCTGCCAGCATCTCTCCACAATCAGGCAGCTTGCCGCCAGCGGGCGGTTCATCGTCATCATCCCCCGGACAGGTAAGCAACGCTTTACGTCGATAGACCTGCCGCCCAAAGCAGAAGGGGGTGAGCAGCCTCATACGTGGTACCCTTCAACAGGTCTTTAGCCTTCTCTGCCAAAGAACAGAGACAGCAAACTATGGCTCCCATATTTATTTATATTTTATTTATTTATATTTTTATTTATTTATTTATATTTTTATTTATTTTTTTATTTTTATTTATTTATATTTTATTTATATTTTATTTATATTGCATTCATTTATTGATATTTTATTTATTTTTATTTATTTATTTATATTGTATTATATATTTTATTCATTTATATATTTTTTATTTATTTATATTTTTTTATTTATTTATATTTTATTTCTTTATTATTTATATTTTATTTATTTATATTGTATTCATTTAATTATATTTTATTTATTTATTTATATTGTATTATTTATATATTTTATTCATTTATATTTTTATTTATTGATATTTTATTCATTTATATTTTTTTTCTTTATATTTTATTTCTTTATTATTTATATTTTATTTATTTATATTGTATTATTTATATTGTGTTATTTATATATTTTATTCATTTATATTTTTATTTATTGATATTTTATTCATTTATTTATATTTTATTTCTTAATATTTTATTTATTTATATTTTATTTCTTTATATTTTATGTCTTTATTATTTATATTTTATTTCATTATTATTTATATTTTATTTATTTATATTGTATTCATTTAATTATATTTTATTTATTTATTTTTATTTATTTATATTGTATTATTATATATTTTATTCATTTATATTTTTATTTATTGATATTTTATTCATTTATTTATACCATATTTATTTATTTATTTTGTATTTATTTATTTATATTTATATTGTATTTATCGGCGAGTGATACGTGCAGATCCCAGTAAGGTGGCCTTCTGCAGCTGGCCAATGGTAATTTTTTCAGTGCCGATTGTGTTTAAGTGCAAGCCAAGGTCTTGAGGCACTGCACCCAGTGTGCCGATCACCACTGGGACGCCCTTGACTTTGTGTAATATTTTCACAAACCCTGATGACATCTGGACATTTGATAATCCAACAATGTGGCAGTGCGTCAAACGCTTTATTATTATTATTATTGTGTTTAAGTGCAAGCCAAGGTCTTGAGGCACTGCACCCAGTGTGCCGATCACCACTGGGACTCCCTTGACTTGTTCTAATATTTTCACAAACCCCAATGACATCTAGACATTTAATAACCCAACAATGTGGCAGTACATCAAATGCTTTATTATTATTATTATTATTATTATTATTATTATTATTATATGTACCCCTTTTCTTGACCCTCCTTTAGTGATCGACGGCTTGGACTTCCTGAAGAAGGAGAATGCTGGCGCTCGCGACAGCATCCGATACCTCGAGGCTGAATTCAAAAAGGGAAACAGGTGGGTTGGTGCGTTCCTCTTTGAAGCACTTCTCGGGGGAGAGAAGCCACACTCTTATGGTTGGTCAGAAGAAAGCAACAGTCATCTATACACATACGGGGACAATTCCATCCTAGATTGTATGTGTTTCCTCCACCACAGACATCCCAGTGTAAACATGTCCAAGAGCCCTGCCAATGCCCTCCACCAACGCCACACTGCCCACCACCCAAGGGAAGGCTTTCATTCAGGGACAATTCCATCCTAGATTGTATGTGTTTCCTCCACCACAGACATCCCAGTGTAAACATGTCCAAGAGCCCTGCCAATGCCCTCCACCAACGCCACACTGCCCACCACCCAAGGGAAGGCTTTCATTCAGGGACAATTCCATCCTAGATTGTATGTGTTTCCTCCACCACAGACATCCCAGTGTAAACATGTCCAAGAGCCCTGCCAATGTCCTCCACCAACACCACACTGCCCACCACCCAAGGGAAGGCTTTCATTTGGGGATAATTCCTTCCTAGATTGTATGTGTTTCCTCCACCACAGACATCACAGTGTAAACATGTCCAAGAGCCCTGCCAATGTCCTCCACCAACACCACACTGCCCACCACCCAAGTGAAGGCTTTCATTAGGGGACAATTCCATCCTAGATTGTACGTGTTTCCTCCACCACAGACATCCCAGTGTAAACATGTCCAACAGCCCTGCCAATGTCCTCCACCAACGCCACACTGCCCACCACCCAAGCGAAGGCTTTCATTCAGGGACAATTCCATCCTAGATTGTACGTGTTTCCTCCACCACAGACATCCCAGTGTAAACATGTCCAACAGCCCTGCCAATGTCCTCCACCAACGCCACAATGCCCACCACCCAAGGGAAGGCTTTCATTTGAGGGCAATTCCATCCTAAATTTCATGTGTTGCCTCCATCACAGACATCCCAGTGTTCCTTACTCTCTCCATTGGTGTGGAATTTGCATGATCCCGCCAACTGCTTCTCACTGAACCCTTTCCTATTCTTTTCTATAGCACAGAGCAAACAGAGGAATTGATCAGCAACAGAACATACTAGAGAAGTTTGGGGAGGATTCATCCTGATTTACAGGAGTTGTGGGTCCTGGGACGTATAGTTCACCTGCAATCTAAGAACTGCACTCTGAACTCCATCAACAATGGACCTAGAATTCACTTGGTACCCAGATGCCCCTTGGCCAAGAAAAAATACTGGAGGCCTTTGGAGGGATTTATGGGAGTTGTAGTTCACCTAATTCCAGATCTTACTGTGAACCCAAACAATGATGGATCTTGGCATGCATACCTTATATGCCCAAATTTGATTACTCGAGGGGGGAGGGGGGAGGACGGACACTGACCTTTCTTTCTGGAAGTTGTAGTTCACCCAGAACCAGAGAAATTGTGACCTTCACAGATGATGGACCGGGACCACACTTGGCACACAAATCTGATATGTTCAAATTGGATTACTGGAGGGGTTTGGGGGGAACTGACCTTCCTTTCTGGGAGTTGTAGTTCACCCACAACCAGAGAAATTGTGACCTCCACCGATGATGGACCTGGCCCAAACTTGGCACACAGAACCCCCATGACTCACTCAACCTACTGGAGGGATTTGAAGGGACTGACTCACCATAGTGGGAGTTGTAGTTCACCTTGCGGCCAGAGAGCACATTGAACCCCTCCGAGGATGTATCCAGAACAAACTAGCCCAAAATAACAAACTTTGAGGACTGATGGTGTTTCAGGGAGTTAACCTGGCATGATGGGAGTTGTAGGTCACCCACAACCTTATGCATTGTGTACAATAAACATTTGACTTTCTCAAATAACCCGGGCAGTATATATCTCCTTCCTTGTTTCATTAAATCTGATACAGAGATATAGAACCATAGAATCATAGAATTCCTTTTTCTACTGACATAAGAAAAAAAAACCTTTTTATTGTTTTTAATGTCCCTGGCAAGCCTGAGCTCATGTTTTGCTTTAGCCTTGCGGACCTTTTCCCTACAGGAGTTGGCTATTTGTTTGAATTCTTCTTTGGTGATTTCTCCCTTTTTCCACTTCTTGTGCATGTCTCTTTTGAGTCTTATGACTAGATGGCTCCACTTCCAAAGGGATTTGCTGAATTTTTCACCTTTTTTCTGACCCTTTTGCAGGTACATTCGCTGCCAGAAAGAAGTGGGGAAAAGCTTTGAGCGGCACAAGCTGAAGCGGCAAGACCTAGATGCTTGGTGAGTTCAGGCAGCTCAGCCTTTCCCTTCCCAATTGCAATCCCGGTCTCTGTATGGAGTGTAATACTATTCACTGCATCCAACAGGAATCTCTATAAGATCCTGGACAGCTGCAAACAGCTGACCACCTCTCAAGGGGGCAGCGAGGAGGACACCACCGGGATGGTGACCATCATCACGGGCTTCCAGCTGGATGACCTGAGCAAGCTTTCGGCCCCCATGCAGGTGAGGGCATCGTTTCTGGTTGCTCGAGAGTCCCTTTTAACAATAGGCTTAACTCATACTACGCTCCCATGCTGTATCATGCCGTATGCTCTGTATTGACTCGAGATTCATATTGAAATACAGTGTTCCCTCACTTATTGTGGGCGTTCTGTTCTTATTATAGAATATAGAGTGAGAAGGGTTCCCAAGGGCCATCCTGTCATAGGGCCATGACATAGACCTTTCCTGTGTATATCTGAAATCTGGGAGAGGGCTGCCATGGAAACGGGAGGGGCCAGAGTGAGGCATGAAGGAAGTAAACTGTCAGTTGGAACTTTGTTGCGTTCCCTACTGCATGCTTTTGAATTAAAGCCATCCATCCATCCATCTCCCCACCATCCATCTCCCCATCCATCCAGCCATCCATCCATCTATCCATCTCACCATCCATCCATCAAACCATCAATCCATCTATCTCCCCATCCATCCATCCATCCATCCATCCATCCATCCATCCATCCATCCATCCAATTATCCATGCATCTATTTATTCACTCAGCCACCCACACATCCATCTATCCACCCATCCATTTATCCATCCATCCATCCATCCATCCATCCATCTATGCATCCATCCATTTATCCATCCATCCATCTATCCACCCACCCATCCATCCATCCATCCATCCATTTATCCACCCACCCACCCACCCACCCACCCACCTATCTATCTATCTATCTATCTATCTATCTATCTATCTATCTATCTATCTATCTACCCACTCATCCATCCATCCATCCATCCACTCATCCATCCATCCATCCATCCATCCACTCATCCATCCATCCATCTATCCACCCATCCATCCATCCATCCATCCATCCATCCATCCACTCATCCATCCATCCATCCATCCATCCACTCATCCATCTATCCATCCACTCATCCATCCATCCATCCATCCATCCATCTATCCACCCATCCATCCATCCACTCATCCATCCATCCATCCATCTATCCACTCATCCACCCACCCATCCATCCATCTATCCATCCATCTATCCACCCATCCATCTATCCATCCACTCATCCATCCATCTATCCATCCATCTATCTATCCACTCATCCATCCATCCACCCATCCATCCATCTACTCATCCATCCATCCATCCATCCATCCATCCATCTATCCATCCATCCATCCATCCACTCATCCATCCATCCATCTATCCACCCACCCATCCATCCATCTATCCATCCATCTATCCACCCATCCATCCATCTATCCATCCACTCATCCCTCCATCTATCCATCCATCTATCTATCCACTCATCCATCCATCCACTCATCCATCTCTCCATCCATCCATCCTCCCACCCATCCATCCAACCATCTTCAGTTGATGACCCAAGAGACATGGTTGAACTCTGTCTTCCTGGCTCCCCTTCTTCATTCCATCTTTGGCATTGAATGTTTGCCGTTTCCTGTTGGAAACCACCCTGAGTTTCCCTCGCGGAGGTAGGGCGGGTTACAAATGAAGTTTATTATCCTGAGTTTGTGAACGCTCCACTTCCGGTCTTTCTCAACGTCCCCTTCTCCCCGCAGTCGGCCCTCCAAGCGGCGTCCAACGCCAGCGTCGAGATCAAGAACGTCCTGGAGTTCTTCAAGCAGTGGAAGGAGATGGGCTGAGGGCGGGAAGGAGGAGCCGCCGGGTTGGTCGAAGTTCTCTCTCCTCGTCGGACGCGCCGCGTTGGAACGGAGCCGCCGCCAAGCCACGGGTGACATTTGGACGCGAAGCAGCCGCCGCCACCGCCGCCGCCTCATCCACCGAATCGAGCCACCGAACGGCATGGGCAACGACGCCCTTTCCATGCCCATCCACACCAACATAACCACACCGGACACCCCGATGGCCTGGCAATGATGTCGGGTGGCCGGGAAGGTTCGAGGCCTCTCACCCAGAGCATTGACAGACCCTGAGCGGGTGGGGAAAAGGGGGCTTCATTCATCGCCAGGGAGGGAAGAAAACCAAAAAGCTTGCTTGGTTCCTCGTCTCCCGAAATCCACAGGGTGTTTAGTTTCCCTTTTCGTTTGCCCCCGGAGAGCCAGATTTGAAGGAAGAGAGGCACGGCGTTTGGGATTCGCGGTCGAGGCTCTTTTCGGGGGGCGGGAAAGGGCAAAGTTGGACACGTTTGCCATTTATTTTCACTCCTCGCGTGCATTTCTTCTTCTTTTCCCTTGGTTGTTTTGTCCCTTTCCTGTAACAGGCTGGGATCTTACGATGCGAGAGAGAAACAAAGGAATCCCTCTCAAAGGTTTTGTTATTTTTTTTGCGCGGAGACGGATCGGAGAAGGTGTAAAGCTTTTCCTGGCCTTTCCCTCCCTCATATGGTCAAATCTCCTCTTTTTTGAGTGTTGTCACGGGATTGATTTCTCCCCCTTTATGCCTCTCTTTCTCCCTTCCTTAAGGTTAAAGGATTGTCCTGATCACTCGTATTTGTCTTCCTTCCTGGGGAAAATGTGTATTTAGGGGGTCATCTCTCCCTTTGGGTTTTGCTTTGTCTCTTAAGGTAGGGTTGGCGTCCAAAAAAGGCCTTTGAATCAACCTATTTTAGAGAGAAAAGAAGCTGGTTAACAAGGCAAGGGAAAAGAAAATGTTGGGATATTCGTAAATTGACGTCATTCGTAAATTGACGGCAAGGGAAAAGAAGCTTTTGGGATATTCGTAAATCTACGTCGTTTGATTATTTGGCCTTCCTTTCGGTATAAACATTGCGCCCAAACTATATATACATATATGTCCTTGAATAAACTCCCCAAAAATCTATTCTAGAGAGGAAAGAAGCCGGTTACCAAAACAAGGGAAAAGAAACTGTTGGGATATTCGTAAATCGACGTCATTCGTAAATCGATGTCATTCGTAAATCGATGGCAAGGGAAAAGAAGCTTTTGGGATATTCGTAAATTTACATCTTTTTGTTGTTTGGCTTTCCTTTTGGTATGAACATTGCGCCCAAATTATATACATATATGTCCTTGAATAAACTCCCCAAAAATCTATTCTAGAGAGGAAAGAAGCCGGTTAACAAGACAAGGGAGAAGAAACTGTTGGGATATTCGTAAATCGATGTCATTCGTAAATCGACGTCAAAGGAGAAGAAGCTTTTGAGATATTCGTAAATCGACGTCATTCGTAAATCGACGTCAAGGGAAAAGAAGCTGTTGGGATATTCGTAAATCGATGTCGTTTTGTTGTTTGGCCTTCCTTTTGGTATGAACATTGCGCCCAAACTATATACATATATGTCCTTGAATAAACTCCCCAAAAATCTATTTTAGAGAGGAAAGAAGCCGGTTAACAAGACAAGGGAAAAGAAAATGTTGGGATATTCGTAAATCAACATCATTTGTAAATCGACGGCAAGGGAGAAGAAGCTGTTGGGATATTCGTAAATCGGCGTCATTCATAAATCGTCATCAAGGGAGAAGAAGCTGTTGGGATATTCGTAAATCGACATCGTTTCGTTATTTGGCCTTCCTTTTGGTATAAACATTGAGCCCAAACTATATATATATATATACTTGAATAAACTCCCCAAAAATCTATTTTAGAGAGGAAAGAAGCTGGTTAACAAGACAAGGGAGAAGAAGCTGTTGGGATATTCGTAAGTCGGCAACATTTCGTTATTTGGCATTCCTTTTGGTATAAACATCGAGCTGAAACATAGGCCTTTTATATATCAACTCCCCAAAAACCTCCTTTAGAGAGGAAAGAAGCCAATTCACAAGGCAAGAGAGAAGAAGCAGTTGGGATATTCGTAACTCGACAACATTTCGTTATTTGGCGTTCTTTCCATATGAAGATCGAGCCGAAACAATATATATAAAAAGGCCTTTGACTCAACCTATTTTAGAGGAAAGAAGCCAGTTAACAATACGAAGGAGAAGAAGCTGTTGGGATATTCGTAAATCGACGGTGTTTTGTTATTCGGCATTCCTTTTGATGTAAACATTAAGCCAAAACTATATATATAAAGGCCTTTTATTTGTCAACTCCCCAAAAGCTTTCTTTAGAGACGAAAGAAGTTGATTCACAAGGCAAGGGAGAAGAAACTGTCGGGATATTCGTAAAGCGACAACATTTCGTTATTTGGTGTTCCTTTTGGTATGAAGATCGAGCCAAAACAATATATATAAAAAGGCCTTTGTATCAACTCCCCGAAAACTTATTTTAGAGAGGAAAGAAGCTGCTTCACAAAGCGAGGGAGAAGAAACTTTTGGTATACTCGTAAATCGACGGCATTTCGTCATTTGGTGTTCCTTTCAGTATAAACATCAAGCCAAAACAAGGGAGAAGACACTGTTGGGATATTCGTAAATGGACAGCGTTTCGTTATTTGGTGTTCCTTTCGGTATGTAGATCGAACCGAAACAATATATAAAAAAAGGCCTTTGAATCAACTCCCCACAAAACCTATTTTTGAGAGGAAAGAAGCTGATTAACAAAGCAAGGGAGAAGAAGCTGCTGAGATATCCGTAACTCAACAGTGTTTTGTTATTTGGCGTTCCTTTCAGTATCAACACCAAGCCAAAATAATATATTTTTTCCCCTTGTCTTCACCCAAAATCCCATCCAAGACTAAGCTTGCTATGGCTTCAGTTGTGTCCCGATTTTGGCTAACTTTCCTGTTCAGACCAAAACCCAAACCGTATTTGTTACCACCAATATCATATGAATTATTTCAGAGTGGCATTGCAGTCACCAAAGATGCATTTGCTTCCTTTCAATCCTGGTTTTGAGAGACGAGGTCGGTTTGGAGAAGGTTTAAAAAGTGCTTAACACGAAGATATTGCGAAAGGAGAAATGGTTTTATTATATACCGTAAGGAACGAGTTGCGGGAGCTTAAATTTCAAGAGGGAGGCTTCAGACTGTGACCGAATCTGATTCCCGATCATTGAATATCTCCTCCTGCAATTGGCATCCCGTTGGAGACATTCCTAACGTGACGTAAGCCGACGGAGATGGGATGTTGCGAAAGGAGAAAGTGTTTCAATTATCCCGGAAGGAACGTGTTGTGGGAGTTTGTGTTTCAAGAGGGAGGCTTCACACTTTGGCTGAATTCAATTCCTGATCGTTGAATATCCCCTCCCGCAATTGGCATCCCGTTGGAGACATTCCTAACATGAAGTAGGCTGACAAAGATGTGGTGTTGCGAAAGGAGAAATTGTTTCATTATATACCGGAAGGAATGTGTTGCGGGAGTTTGTGTTTCAAGAGGAAGGCTTCACACTTTGGCCGAACCCGATTCCCGATCGTTGAATATCTCCTCCCACAATTGGCATCCTGTTGGAGACATTCCTAATGTGAAGTAGGCCGACGGAGATGGGATGTTGCGAAAGGAGAAAGGCTTTCAATTATCCCAGAAGGAACGTGTTGCGGGAGTTTGCATTTCAAGAGGGGAGGCATCACACTTTGACTGAATTCGATTCCCGATTGTTGAATAGCTCGTCCTACAATTGGCATCCCGTTGGAAACATTCCTAATGTGAAGTAGATGTGATGTTGCGAAAGGAGAAATTGTTTCATTATATACCAGAAGGAACGAGTTGCGGGAGCTTAAATTTCAAGAGGGAGGCATCACACTTTGGCCGAATTCGATTCCCAATCATGGAATATCTCCTCCCGCAATTGGAGACATTCCTAAAGTGAAGTAGGCTGACGAAGATGTGATGTTGCGAAAGGAGAAATTGTTTCATCATATACCGGAAGGAACGTGCTGCGGGAGTTTGCATTTCAAGAGGGGAGGCTTCACACTTTGGCCGAACTCGATTCCCGATAGTTGAATATCTCTTCCCGCAATTGGCATCCTGTTGGAGACATTCCTAATGTGAAGTAGGCTGACGAAGATGGGATGTTGCGAAACGAGAAAGGCTTTCAACTATCCCGGAAGGAACGTGTTGCGGGAGTTTGCATTTCAAAAGGGAGGCTTCACACTGGCCAAATTCGATTCCTGATCGTTGACTAGCTTGTCCCGCAAGTGGCATCCCGTTGGAGACATTCCTAACGTGAAGTAGGCCGACGAAGATGCGATGTTGCGAAATGAGAAAGGCTTTCAATTATCCCGGAAGGAACGTGTTGCGGGAGTTTGCGTTTCAAGAGGAAGGCTTCACACTTTGGCCGAATTCGATTCCCGATCGTTGAATACTTCGTCCCACAATTGGCATCCCATTGGAGACATTCCTAACATGAAGTAGGCTGACAAAGATAGGATGTTGCAAAAGGAGAAATTGTTTCATTATATACCAAAAGAAATATGTTGCGGGAGTTTGCATTTCAAGAGGGAGGCTTCACACTGGCCAAATTCGATTCCCGATCGTTGACTAGCTTGTCCCGCAAGTGGCATCCCGTTGGAGACATTCCTAACATGAAGTAGGCTGACGAAGATGTGATGTTGCGAAAGGAGAAATTGTTTCATTATATACCGGAAGGAACATGCTGCGGGAGTTTGCATTTCAAGAGGGGAGGCTTCACACTTTGGCCGAACCCGATTGTTGAATATTTCCTTCTGCAATTGGCATCCCGTTGGAGACATTCCTAACATGAAGTAGGTCAACGCAGATGGGATGTTGCAAAAGGAGAAATTGTTTCACTATATACCAAAAGGAATGTGTTGCGGGAGTTTGCATTTCAAGAGGGAGGCATCACACTTTGGCCGAACACGATTCCCGATAGTTGAATATCTCCTCCCGCAATTGGCATCCTGTTGGAGACATTCCTAACGTGAAGTAGGCCGACGAAGATGGGATGTTGCGAAACGAGAAAGAGTTTGAATTATCCCGGATGTTGCAAAAGGAGAAATTGTTTCACTATATACCAAAAGGAATGTGTTGCGGGAGTTTGCGTTTCAAGAGGGAGGCTTCACACTTTGGCCGAATTCGATTCCCGATCGTTGAATACCTCATCCCGCAATTGGCATCCCGTTGGAGACATTCCTAACGTGAAGTCGGCTAACGAAGATGTGATGTTGCGAAAGGAGAAATTGTTTCATTAGATACCACAAGGAACGTGTTGCGGGAGTTTGCGTTTCAAGAGAGGAGGCATCACACTTTGGCCGAACACGATTCCCGATAGTTGAATATCTCCTCTCGCAATTGGCATCCCGTCGGAGACATTACTGAAATGGCACAGAAATGGGGTCTTCTCCCAGAAACCTTCCTCGATCAAATCTTGCATTTCTGGCCACAATAACGTCTAGAGTAGAATTTTTGTAAATATTCATAAATCGACGATATTTTGTTATTTGGCGATACTTTCGGTATGAAGATCGAACCGAATTTTTGTTGTGGTGCCGTAAAATGCACAACTGCTCCGCCATCATTGGGTAGGCTCTTCAAATCGCATTCTTCACCATCTTTGGATTGGCTCTCCAAATCATACTTCTCATATTACCAACCAAACGTTGATTTGATTTCCGCGGCAACCTCAGTGGACAATCCGAGTCCTTCGTGGTCAAGTTGTGGAAATGGGGAAAGGTCCAAATGGGAAAATAGACCTTCCTCGCCGAGGAACGTGGATGGAAGGACCTCCAAAGGACCACGGGATGGCCATTTCTGGCTCATCTTCAGCTTCATTGCACATCTTTATTTTTCTCTCTCCATGGGGTGGGTTTGAGGTTCTTCCCATTCTCTGTCTACGGAGCCTTCCTTTCTTTGGGTCAGCATTGGTGGCTTAATGCAGAACGCTAGCCACATTCGGCTAGTGCTTGGCGCGTGGCTTGCCAAACCAAGGGACCCATTGGTTCTTCCTAATCCAGACCCTTTAAGCATTGCTTATATGTGTGTGTGTGTGCGGCATTCGCACCCAGAACATGCGAAGTGTCGGAGAATGCTTCCAAAACAAAGCCAGGTTGGGTCACTTTGGAGTAGGATGCGTCGTTGGGAATGCAGTTGTTTTGAAAGCGAATGTCAACACGATGGTAGGATCCGTCATTGTGAATCCAGATGAGATGTCAACATGGGCCTTCTTGTTGTTTCTCATCGTCTGGACGAACAGGAAGAGGAAGTCCTATGCGCGTGCCCACACCACATATATATCCCATTCTTTCCCTGTAAATGATTGGAACGCATCCACCGGCTTCATTAAAACCAATGCGAGATGTTTGTAAATCCGTCACGCCTGGGTCTCTTTTGTGTTTTTGTTATTGGAAGGCAGACTTGCACACTCTTTATCTGTTGCACTCCCGGACAGGAAAAGCCCTCTACACCATTGATTGGGAAACAATCCTTTTATTGAAGATAATTAAAAAAACAGCAAAGTAGAAAGCACTTTAAAGAAATTGGTAAATCCAATTAGGGAAGAAGATAAGCAGGAGCAAAATAGTCCAGGGTAAAGTTCGACAAAGTCCACACTTTAAAAGAAATAGGTAAATCCAATTAGGGAAGAAGATAAGCAGGAGCAAAATAGTCCAGGGTAAAATTCGACAAAGTCCACACTTTAAAAGAAATAGGTAAATCCAATCAGGGAAGAAGATAAGCAGGAGCAAAATAGTCCAGGGTAAAGTTCGACAAAGTCCACACTTTAAAAGAAATAGGTAAATCCAATCAGGGAAGAAGATAAGCAGGAGCAAAATCGTCCAGGGGAAAGTTTAGCAAAGTCCAAAAAACAAAGTCCACACTTTAAAAGAAATAGGTAGATCCAATTAGGGAAGAAGATAAGCAGGAACAAAACAGTTCAGGGTAAAGTTCAGCAAAGTCCAAAAAAACAAAGTCCACACAGTAGGCAGAGAGAGGAAGTGGGCGGGGTCATGCAAATTGTACACCAATGGAGAGAGTCAGAAACAAGAGTTTTGGCTCCACACAAAACCAGGAAATAAGGTCATGACATGTATGATAGGAAATAAGATCATGACACCAAATGGAGAAAGTAAGGAACACTGGGATGTCTGTGGTGGAGGAAAGCCGTCGCTTGCGTGGTGGGCAGTGTGTTGGCGGAGGACATTGGCAAGGCTCTTGGACATGTTCACTGCGCTCACTATAAGCTATAATGTCATTGGAGGGAGAAGAATAGAAAAGAATTAAGGAAAAGTAAGTGGATGGGAACACTGGGATGCCTATGGTGGAGGAAACACATACAATCTAGGATGGAATTGTCCCTGAATAAAAGCCTTTCCTTGGGTGGTGGACAGTGTGCCGTTGGTGGAGGACATTGGCAGGGCTCTTGCACATTTTTACGCTGGGATGTCTGTGGTGGAGGAAACATACAATCTAGGATGGGACGGAGGACACACTGGGATGTCTGTGGTGGAGGAAACACAATCTAGGATGGAATTGTCCCCATATGAAAGCCTTCCCTTGGGTGGTGGGCAGTGTGCTGTTGGTGGAGGACATTGGCAGGGCTCTTGGACATGTTGACACTGGGATGTCTGTGGTGGAGGAAACACATATAATCTAGGATGGAATTGACCCCGTATGAAAGCCTTCCCTTGGATGATGGTCAGTGTGGCGTGGGTGGAGGACATTGGCAGGGCTCTTGGATATGTTTACACTGGGATGTCTGTGGTGGAGGAAACACATACAATCTAGGATGAAACTGTCCCCGTATTAAAGTCTTCCCTTGGGTGGTGGTCAGTCTGGTGTTGGTGGGGGACATTGGCAGGGCTCTTGGACATGTTTACACTGGGATGTCTGTGGTGGAGGAAACACATACAATCTAGTCCAATGCCATTCTACCTTTTAGGAAGACAAAACTCAAGCGCCCATCCAAACCCTGTGTAAAGACCTCCACAGATGGGGAGTCCACCACTCTTGGAGACTATTTAGAAGGATCTCCATAGTATTGGGATGGTCCTCTGTCTTGGCGCTGGGGGTGGCTGCTGTGTCTCCTCCCGTCTCTTTTGCGAAGGACCTCGTCTGACCCAAAACCCCGTCATGAGCTGGCGGGCGGATGAAAGAGGCCTTTGTTGCTCTCCCTTCGCTTCCAGAGACTCTCTTCTTTGAAGCGGGGACAAATACCCCAAAAGCAAGTTTGGAAGTTACCATTTGCAAGTTTGAATAGCATTGGATTGCCATGAAGCTGCAAAGTCAATCAGTGATGGTATCTGCAGAGAGGTAGTGAAGCAAGCAGAGTTTATATATCTGTGGGAGAAAGAACCCCTGTCTGTTAAAGCAAGCGTGAGTGTTGCAATTAGCAAGCTTGAATAGCATTGAGTAGCCCTAAAGTTTGTGAAGTCAATCCGTGAGGGTATCTGCATAGAGGTAGCAAGTGGAGTGTAGATATCCCTATAGAATAATGCCCAGGGTGGGAGTACAAACCCTTGTCTGTTAATGCAAGTGTGACTGTTGCAATGAGCAAGCTTGAATAGCATTGAGCATCCATGGAGTTTGCAAAGTCAATCAGTGAGGGTATCTCCATAGAGGTAGCACGTGGAATGTATAGATTCTTGTGGAATAATGTCCAGGGTGGAAGAAGGAACTCTTATATGCTTGAGGCAAGTGTGAATGTTGCCATCATCCAGCTTGATTAGCATTGTAGAACAATGAAGCTGCAAAGTCAATCAGTGAGGGTACCTGCAGAGAGGTAGTGAAGCAAGCAGAGTGTACATATCTGTGGGAGAAAGAACCCTTGTCTGTTAAAGCAAGCGTGAATGTTGCAATTAGCAAGCTTGAATAGCATTGACTAGCCTTGCAACTGCAAAGTCAATCAGTGAGGGTATCTGCATAGAGGTAGCAAGTGGAGAGTAGATATCCCTATGGAATAATGCCCAGGATGGGAGAACAAACCCTTGTCTGTTAACACAAATGGGAGTGTTGCAATGAGCAAGCTTGAATAGCATTGAGTAGCCATGAAGTTTTCAAAGTCAACCAGTAAGGGTATTTGCATAGAGATAGCAAGTGGAATGTAGAGATTCCTGTGGAATAATGTCCAGGGTGGAAGAAGGAACTCTAGCCTGCTTGTGAATGTTGCAATTACCCAGCTTGAATAGCATTGAATAGCCACGAACTTTGCAAAGTCAATTAGTGAGGGTCTCTGCATAGAGGTAGTGAAGCAAGTGAAGTGTATATATCTGTGCGAGAAAGAACTCCCTCTTACTCTTGTCTGCTTGTGAATGTTGCAATTACCCAGCTCGAATAGCATTGAATAGCTATGAAGTTTGCAAAGTCAACCAGTGAAGGTATCTGTATAGTGGAATGTAGAGATTCCTGTGGAATAATGTCCAGAGTGGAAGAAGGAACTCTTGTCTGCTTGTGAATGTCGCAATTACCCAGCTTGAATAGCATTGAACAAACCCTTGTCTGTTAACACAAGTGTGAGTGTTGCAATGAGCAAGTTTGAAAAGCATTGAGCATCCATGGAGTTTGCAAAGTCAACCAGTGAGGGTATCTGCATAGAGGTAGCAAGTGGAATGTAGAGATTCCTGTGGAATAATGTCCAGGTTGGAAGAAGGAACTCTAGTCTGCTTGTGAATGTTGCAATTACCCAGCTTGAATAGCATTGAATAGCCATGAAATTTGCAAAGTCAACCAGTGAAGGTATCTGCATAGATGTAGTGAAGCAAGCTGGGTGTATATATCTGTGGGAGAAAAAAAAAACACTTTTCTGTTATAGCAAGAATGAATGGTGCAATTAGCAAGCTTGAATAGCACTGAATAACCATGAAGTTGCAAAGTCAATCAGTGAGGGTATCTTCATAGAGGTAGCAAGTGGAATGTATATTGTGAATGTTAGGAAGAAGTAAATCTTGTCTGCTTGCAATTACAACATGTGTGAATGTTGCTATTACCCAGCTTGAAAAGCATTGAATAGCCATGAAGTTTGCAAAGTCAATCAGTGAAGGTATCTCCATAGAGGTAGCAAGTGGAATGTATGTTGTGAATGTTAGGAAGAAGGGACTCTTGTCTGCTTGCAATTACAACATGTGTGAATGTTGCTATTACCCAGCTTGAATAGCATTGAATAGCCACGAAGTTTGCAAAGTCAACCAGTGAGGGTATCTGCATAGTGGAATGTAGAGATTCCTGTGGAATAATGTCCAGGGTGGAAGAAGGAACTCTTGTCTGCTTGTGAATAGCATTGAATAGCCATGAAGTTTGCAAAGTCAATCAGTGAGGGTATCTGCATAGAGGTAGTGAAGCAAGTGGAGTGTATGTATCTGTGGGAGAAAGAACCCTTGTCTGTTAAAGCAAGTGTGAATGGTGCAATGAGCAACCTTGAATAGCACTGAATAGCCATGAAGTTGCAAAGTCAGTCAGTGAGGGTATCTCCATAGAGGTAGCAAGTGGAATGTATGTTGTGAATGTTAGGAAGAAGCAGCTCTTGTCTGCTTGCAATAACAACATGTGTGAATGTTGCAATTACCCAGCTCGAATAGCATTGAATAGCTATGAAGTTTGCAAAGTCAACCAGTGAAGGTATCTGTATAGTGGAATGTAGAGATTCCTGTGGAATAATGTCCAGAGTGGAAGAAGGAACTCTTGTCTGCTTGTGAATGTTGCAATTACCCAGCTTGAATAGCATTGAGCAAACCCTTGTCTGTTAACACAAGTGTGAGTGTTGCAATGAACAAGTTTGAATAGCATTGAGTATCCATGAAGTTGCAAAGTCAACCAGTGAGGGTATCTGCATAGAGGTAGCAAGTAGAATGTAGAGATTCCTGAGGAATAATGTCCAGGGTGTGAGAAGGAACTCTTGTCTGCTTGTGAATGTTGCAATGAGCAAGCTTGAATAGCATTGAATAGCTATGAAGTTTGCAAAGTCAACCAGTGAGGGTATTTGCATAGTGGAATGTAGAGATTCCTGTGGAATAATGTCCAGAGTGGAAGAAGGAACTCTTGTCTTCTTGTGAATGTTGCAATTACCCAGCTTGAATAACATTGAGTAGCCATGAAGTTTGCAAAGTCAATCAGTGAGGGGATCTCCATAGAGGTAACAAGTGGAATGTAGAGATTCCTGTGGAATAATGTCCAGAGTGGAAGAAGGAACTCTTGTCTGCTTGTGAATGTTGCAATTACCTAGCTTGGATAGCATTGAACAAACCCTTGTCTGTTAACACAAGTGTGAGTGTTGCAATGAGCAAGCTTGAATAGCATTGACTATCCATAAAGTTGCAAAGTCAATCAGTGAGGGTATCTCCAGAGAGGTAGCAAGTGGAATGTACAGATTCCTGTCGAATAATGTCCAGGGTGTAAGAAGGAACTCTTGTCTGCTTGCGAATAGCATTGAATAGCCATGAAGTTTGCAAAGTCAACCAGTGAGGGTATTTGCATAGTGGAATGTAGAGATTCCTGTGGAATAATGTCCAGGTTGTAAGAAGGAACTCTTGTCTGCTTGTGAATGTTGGAATTACCCAGCTTTAATAGCACTGAATAGCCATGAAGTTTGCAAAGTCAGTCAGTGAGGGTATCTCCATAGAGGTAGCAAGTGGAATGTTAGGAAGAAGGGACTCTTGTCTCCTTGCAATTACAACATGTGTGAATGTTGCTATTACCCAGCTTGAATAACATTGAATAGCCATGAAGTTGCAAAGTCAACCAGTGAGGGTATCTCCAGAGAGGTAGCAAGTGGAATGTAGAGATTCCTGTGGAATAATGTCCAGGGTGTAAGAAGGAACTCTTGTCTGCTTGTGAATGTTGGAATTACCCAGCTTTAATAGCACTGAATAGCCATGAAGTTGCAAAGTCAACAAGTGAGGGTATCTCCAGAGAGGTAGCAAGTGGAATGTACAGATTCCTGTCGAATAATGTCCAGGGTGTAAGAAGGAACTCTTGTCTGCTTGCGAATAGCATTGAATAGCCATGAAGTTTGCAAAGTCAACCAGTGAGGGTATTTGCATAGTGGAATGTAGAGATTCCTGTGGAATAATGTCCAGGTTGTAAGAAGGAACTCTTGTCTGCTTGTGAATGTTGGAATTACCCAGCTTTAATAGCACTGAATAGCCATGAAGTTTGCAAAGTCAGTCAGTGAGGGTATCTCCATAGAGGTAGCAAGTGGAATGTTAGGAAGAAGGGACTCTTGTCTCCTTGCAATTACAACATGTGTGAATGTTGCTATTACCCAGCTTGAATAACATTGAATAGCCATGAAGTTGCAAAGTCAACCAGTGAGGGTATCTCCAGAGAGGTAGCAAGTGGAATGTAGAGATTCCTGTGGAATAATGTCCAGGGTGTAAGAAGGAACTCTTGTCTGCTTGTGAATGTTGGAATTACCCAGCTTTAATAGCACTGAATAGCCATGAAGTTGCAAAGTCAACCAGTGAGGGTATCTCCAGAGAGGTAGCAAGTGGAATGTAGAGATTCCTGTGGAATAATGTCCAGGGTGTAATAAGGAACTCTTGTCTGCTTGTGAATGTTGGAATTACCCAGCTTTAATAGCACTGAATAGCCATGAAGTTACAAAGTCAACCAGTGAGGGTATCTCCAGAGAGGTAGCAAGTGGAATGTAGAGATTCCTGTGGAATAATGTCCAGGGTGGAAGAAGGAACTCTTGTCTGCTTGTGAATAGCATTGAATAGCCATACAGTTTGCAAAGTCAATCAGTGAGGGTATCTGCATAGAGGTAGTAAGTGGAATGTATAGATTCCTGTGGAATAATGTCCAAGGTGGAAGAAGGAACTCTTGTCTGCTTGTGAATGTTGCAGTTACCCAGCTTGAATAGCATTGAGTAGCCATGAAGTTTGCAAAGCCAACCAGTGAGGGTCTCTGCATAGAAGTAGTGAAGCAAGTGGAGTGTATATATATATCTGTGGGAGAAAGAACCCTTGTCTGTTAAAGCAAGTGTGAATGTTGCAGTTACCCAGCTTGAATAGCATTGAATAGCCATGAAGTTTGCAAAGTCAACCAGTGAGGGTATCTGCAGAGAGGTAGTGAAGCAAGCAGAGTGTATATATCTGTGGGAGAATGAACTCCCCCTTATCCGGCGTCTTCTCAATGCGATTCGGTGCATTCCAAGCTGGACTCGTGCTCTTTTCTCCCCCCGAAATCTTGCCGAGAGGGCCCTTTTCACGGCCTTCCTGGCAGTGGCTTCCCCTTTTGCAAAGAGAGAGGCCTTTCTTCTTCTCCTCCTTCCCTTTCCGCCCATCGGGCCCAGCCAACGGGGAGGGTAACTTGGCCCCCGTCCATCGGCCCTGGCAAGGAATGTGGAGGAAGAAGAAGAAGAAGAAGAAGAAGGGAAGGGGAAAGGCAAAGAGCAGGACGAGGCTGGAACGAAGAGAAGAAGGCAGAAGAGAAGAAGGCAAAATGAAGGGCCAACCGCAGAACTTGGGGTCCGGGTTGCACCGACCTGGCAGTGCTCACGCAACAGGTAAAGGGTCAGGATGTAAACACAGCCTTTGTTGATTATTGCCTTCCTTTTCTTCTCCTTCTTCTCGTCCTTCCTCAATTAATTCCTTCCTTCCTTTCCGTCCAGCTAAAAGCAAGAAGCCTCCATAGACAGGATTGTTGTTGTTGTTTGTTTGTTGTTGTTGTTTACTCGGGGTCCGGGATGCACCGACCTGGCCGGGTCAGGATGTAAACACGGCCTTTGCTTATTATTCTCTTCCTTTTCTTCTCCTTCTTCTCGTCCTTCCTCCCTTAATTCCTTCCTTCCTTAGATAGGATTGTTATTGTTGTTTGTTTGTTGTTGTTGTTTACTCGGGGTCTGGGATGCACTGACCTGGCGGTGCTCATGCAACAGGTAAAGGGTCAGGATGTAAACACGGCCTTTGCTTATTATTCTCTTTTCTTCTCCTTCTTCTCGTCCTTCCTCCCTTAATTCCTTCCTTCCTTAGATAGGATTGTTGTTGTTGTTTGTTGTTGTTGTTGTTTACTTGGGGTCCGGGATGCTCCGACCTGGCGGTGCTCATGCAACAGGTAAAGGGTCAGGATGCAAACACGGCCTTTGCTTATTATTCTCTTCCTTTTCTTCTCCTTCTTCTCTTCCTTCCTTTCCGTCCAGCTAAAAGCAAGAAGCCTCCATAGACAGGATTGTTGTTGTTGTTGTTTGTTTGTTGTTGTTATTGTTTGTGCAATGCCTTTAAGTTGCTCTGACCTCGGGTGAACCCCAGAGAAAACTTCTCCTGGTTCGGCTCAAGGATCGGAAAATCTTGCTCTTGTCTTCGAGTTGAACGCCTTCCTTTTGGGATTTAATGGACCACAGAGTCCAATAAATCCAAAAGGAAAAAGCACAATCAAAGCACCCTCGACAGAGGGCCACCCAGCCTTTGTAATAGTAATAGTAATAGTAATAATAAATTTAATAATAATAATAATAATAACAACAATTATAAGAGCCACCTCAGCTCTTGAACGTCTTCCTCTTGGATTGAACAGGCCCCAGAGTGGTCAAGGGGGGACCCCCAAAGGTCATCTATCCGGTCCCATGTGATACTTGCCTAGTTTCCACCCAACCTACTTTCCAACAGAAGCACGAACAGCACTAATATATATATATATATATATATTAGTGCTGTTCGTGCTTCTGTTGGAAAGTAGGTTGGGTGGAAACTAGGCAAGTGGGGTTTATATGTAATATAACGTTCCAGAAGCATGCTTTCCTGACATTTCTCCCACATTCTATGGCAGGCATCCTTGAGAGGTCTGTTGGAAACAAGGCCAATAGGGTTTATGTATCCATTGAATGATGTCCAGGGCGAGAGAAAGAACTCTTGACTGTAGGAGGCAAGTGGGAATGTTGTCATTGGCCAGCTTGATTAGCACTGAATGGCCTTGCAGCTTCAAAGTCTAGCTGCTTCCTGTCTGAGGGAATCCTCTCTCTCTCTCTCTCTCTCTCTCTCTCTCTCTATATATATATATATATATATATATACATATGTGTGTGGAATGATATCCAGGGTGGGAGAAAGAACTCTTTTCTGTTGGAGGCAAGTGGGAATGTTTCCATTGGACAGCTTGATTAAGACTGAATGGCCTTGCAGCTTCAAAGCTTGGTTGCTTCCTGCCTGAGGGAATCCTCTCTCTCTCTATATATATGTATGTATGTATGTATGTATGTATGTATGTATGTATATGTATGTATATGTGGAATGATGTCCAGGGTGGGAGAAAGAACTCTTGTCTGTTGGAAGTAAATGTGAATGTTGCAATTGGCCACTTTGATTAGCATTGAATAGACTTGCAGCTTCAAAGCCTGGCTGATTCCTGCCTGGGGGAATCCTTTGTTGGGAAGTTACCAGTATTTTTTTTAAAAAAAAACACCAGAATCAAGAAGTAAACAAGGAACAGCACTCAGCTACAAGAGAACTCCTGACAGCAAACAATCAAGTGCCAGTGAACACCTCCCAAAACAGACGATGCCTCCAGGAAACAACAGCCAGGCTACCCCCTATGCAGATACCCTCACCGATTGACTTTGCAAACTTCGTGGCTGTTCCAATGCTAACTCAAAATTGCTAATTCCAACATCCAGACAGCAATCAAGTGCCAGTGAACACCTCCCAAAACAGACGATGCCTCCAGCCAACAACAGCTACGCTAACCCCTATGCAGATACCCTCACCGATTGACTTTGCAAACTTCGTGGCTGTTCCAATGCTAACTCCAAATTGCTAATTCCAACATCCAGACAGCAATCAAGTGCCAGTGAACACCTCCCAAAACAGACAATGCCTCCAGGAAACAACTGCCAGGCTACCCATATGCAGATACCCTCACCGATTGACTTTGCAAACTTTGTGGCTGTTCCGATGCTAACTCAAAATTGCTAATTCCAACATCCAGACAGCAAACAATCAAGTGCCAGTGAACACCTCCCAAAACAGACGATGCCTCCAGGCAACAACGGCCAGGCTAACCCGTATGCAGATACCCTCACCGATTGACTTTGCAAACTTTGTGACTGTTCCAATGCTAATTCAAGATTGCTAATTTCAATACTTCCAACAGAACCTCTGAAGATGCCACTCGCCAAAGATGCAGGTGAAATGTCAGGAGAGAGTGCTGCTGGGAAATGGCCATGGAGCCCGAAAAACTCACAGCAACCCGACAATAATAATAATAATAATAATAATAATAATAATAATAATGTTTAATTTTTTTGCCTATCTCTCAACTTTCCTCGGTGCCATCCTAATGCAAGACCAAGTATGGGCTCTCCAAGTGTTTTGGACTCCAACTCCCACCATTCCTAACCGCCTGAGGCCCTTTCCTGTGGTCACAACTATCCTCAGCTTCTGAGATTTCAGGGTTGAGTGCGAGGGCACGATCGGGGCCGGCCCAAGCCAAGCCAAGAGTGAGTGAACACTCAATTGGCCGTGGCCTGCCCGTGAACAGGGAACCCTGGGATGCCAGGGTGGGAACCGAGCCCAAAGGCCACCCAGCCCAACCCCCTTCGGCCCTCAAGCAGGGAAAGCACAATCAAAGCACCCCCAGCAGATGGCCACCCAGCATTTCTAATAATAATAATAATAATAATAAATAATAATAATAATAATAAATATTGAATGATTAACAATAATAGGAGCCACCCCAGAGGTCATGCAGTCCAACCTCCTTTTTTGTGCCAAGCAGGAAAAGCACAATCAAAGCACCCACAACAGATGGCCAACCAGCATTTGTAATACTACTACTACTACTACTACTACTACTACTACTACTAATAATAATAATAATATTGAATGATTAACAATAATAGGAGCCACCCCAGAGGTCATCCAGTCCAACCTCCTTCTGCCCTTAAGCAGGGAAAGCACAATCAAAGCACCCCCAATGGATGGCCACCCAGCATTTCTAATACTAATACTAATACTAGTACTACTACTAATAATAAAAATATTGAATGATTAACAATAATAAGATCCACCCAAGAGGTCATGCAGTCCAACCCCCTTTATTGTGCCATGCAGGAAAAGCATAATCGAAGCACCCCCAACAGATGGCCATCTAGCATTTCTAATAATAATAATAATAATAATAATAATAATAATAATAATAATAATAATAATAAAGATTGAATGATTAACAATAATAGGAGCTACCCCAGAGGTCATCTAGTCCAACCCCCTTTATTCTGTCATGCAGGGAAAGCACAATCAAAATGCCCCTGACAGATGGCCATCTAGCATTTCTAATAATAATAATAATAATAATAATAATAATAATAATAATAATAATAAATATAGAATGATTAACAATAATAGGAGCGACTCCAGAGGTCATCCAATCCAATCCCCTTTATTCGGCCATGCTGGGAAAGCACAATCGAAGCACCCCTGACAGATGGCCACTCAGAATTTCTAATAATAATAATAATAATAATAATAATAATAATAATAATAAATATCTAATGATTAACATTAATAATAGGAGCCAGCCCAGAGGTCATCTAGTCCAACCCTCTTTATTGTGCCATGCAGGAAATGCACAAGCAAAGCACCCCCAAGAGATGGCCACCCAGCATTTCTAATAATACAAATATTTAATAATAATATTTAATTATTATTAATAATAATAACAATGGGTGTCACCCCAGAGGTCATCCAGTCCAACCCCCTTTATTCTGCCATGCAGGAAAAGCGCAATCAAAACACCCTCAACAAATGGCCACTCAGCCTTTGTAATAGTAATAGTAATAACAATAATAATTAATTTTATAATAAAATATAATAATAATAATAATAATAATAATAATAATAATAATAATAATAAATAGCTAATGGTTAACAGTAATAATAGGAGCCACCCCAGAGGTCATCCAGTCCAACCCCCTTTATTCTGTTATGCAGGAAAAGAACAATCAAAGCACCCTCAACAGATGGCCACCCAGACTTTGTAAGAATATTATTATTAATAATAAGAATATTATTATTAAATATATATATATATATATATATATATAATAAAAAAGTTATAATATACAATATTATATTGTATTTTTGGATGGGTGGAGGACTCCAATCATCCTTCTTCAGGAGGCCATCGAGGTCCTTCCTATAACCGAGGAAATAATAATAATAATAATAATAATAATAATTAATTAATAATAATAATAATAATTAATAATAATAATAATAATTAAATAATAATAATTAATAATTAATAATAATAATAATGATAAGTAGTTAATAATAATAACAATAATAGTTAATAATAATAGTTAATAATAATAACATTAATATTAATATTAATAATAATAATAATAATAATAATAATAATAATAATAATAAGTAGTTAATAATAATAACAATAATAGGAGCCACCCCAGAGGTCATGCAGTCCAACCTCCTTTATTCTGCCATGCAGGAAAAGCACAATCAAAGCACCCTCAACATATGACCATCCAGACTTTGTAATAGTAATAGTAATATA